AGGCATAGTAAGAGATTAACAACAATAACAATAAAATAGAAAATTGTAACAATAGGGGCGCCTGGGTGGCTCAGTGGGTTAAAGCCTCTGCCTTTGGCTCAGGTCATGATTCCAGGGTCCTGGGATCAAGACCCACATCAGGCTCTCTGCTCAGCAGGGAGTCTGCTTCCTTCCTCTCTCTCTCTGCCTCCTGTGATCTCTGTCAATAAATAAATAAAATCTTTTAAAAAAAGAGAAATGTTTAAAAAAAAGAAAATTGTAACATTATATTGTAATAAAAGTTATGTGAATGTGGCTTCTCTCTCAAAAAATATTTATTGTACTGTACACTTTAGACGATAAAACGTGGACATGATTACATGAAGTGAGGTGAATGACATTGGCATTATGACACAGAGTTAGGCTACTATCGATCTTCTGAATATGTTAGAGGGAGGACGATCTGCTTTCTAACCCTGGTTGACTGCAGGTAATGGAAGTCACCAAAAGAGAAACCATGCATAAGGGGGTCTCCTCTATGACCCGAGAGGGTCCCTGTGATCTGGGGTCTGTCTACTTTTCCAGCCTGCTATCTTACTCTCCACAGTTCTCCCACTCCCAAGACTACACACTGAGCTTCCAGTTTTCCCAGTGCCTCATTATGTTTCCTGTTCTGGTGCACATAGATTTCATGTCTTCCAGTTTTTTCTCAGCTTGGTGAATCTATAACCATCTTCCCAGAGTAAGTTCATAGTTCTTCATTAAAGCCTTTTGGGGGGTGCTCACAGTTGTTATTAACATTTGTCTCTTCTGATTCCCACTGTACCTATATTAAATATCCTGTATTTCTATCACCTAGCTCCAGACTGGGTATATAGCCTGTATTCAATAAATATTGAGTGAACAACTAGGTGAAGACTCAAACCTTCATATGGCACCTATTCTTCATTAAAAAAGTGTGCAGTATAGTACATTTGTCATTTATTCTTGCCATACACATTGTTTTGTGATTTTTTAAAACATAAATTGTATATTTAAAACTTGTAAAGCAAAAAGAAAATAAAAAAAGAGGAAAAAAACCCCTAACTCATCAGTCTGTTGTAATTTTCCACTGTATTTCTAAATGTTAGAATGGGCTCTTTTTTCCTTTCCGTAAACTCTTGCCTTTGCAGCAATTATCCTCTTTCTGGCAAAATTATTAGGAAGCGGGAGGAGCTTCTTTTTTTAACCCATGACAACTCAGACCAATTCAAGTTTCCGTGTTACAGGAATCAAGGAGGTTTTAATCTCAGTTTATATTTGCATTTATGACCGTTGGCTCTCCCCAGGGAGACAAGGAAAAGAAGGCCCCTACACCTGGTTTCAGATTGATTACAATCAACACGGGACAATTTTAGCATAAAAGGTTCGTTTTGCATCAAACACCTTTTTGAGGGGAGGAGGTGGAGGTGGTGAAGATAAAAATCCTCAATCAAAATCCCGCCAATTTGCGTTGTTCTTTGGGGAACAGGTTTTCAAATGCCGGGGAACAAAAGAGCGTTTGGTTTTCCAATCTCCCTGGGGCGGCAGCAGATTGTGAAGCAGCTACCGGAAGAAACCAAAGTATAAATTATTATCAACTAGAAGAAGGCGTGTGTGCGTGTGTGTACGCGCGCGTGCGCTCGGGGGCTTGGAAGAGGATAGGAAAGAGATGGAGTCCATGCTAAGGCTCCAAGGATTTTTTTTTTTTTTCAAGGTACCTCGTTATGTAATATTTATAATGAAAGGGGCTGCAACAGCGTCAGCGCGCTGACCCGCGTTTTCTCCACTGTTCACAACCCCAAGCTGGGATACAATGGGTATGGGAGGAGGGGACAAGAGGCGACTTGCAGGCGAGAGCGGGCTGCACAGCGGGAAGCCAGCCGCTTGCGCAGAAGCCGAGCCAGCAAAATTTACCCCCGGCCCTGCCACCGATCCACAGACCCCGCGGGGGCTACATCGGTAGTTTAAACGCACAATCGGGGATCCAGCCTCTCAAGAGTTTTACTCAGTAGGCGTGGAGAAGGGGTTAGGGTTAAGAAATCTGCATTGTCTGGCGCCTCTGAGGATTCTGAGCCCGTGACCTGGAGACCTCACGCTGGGAACAGAACATTGGAGCGTGGGCCGGGGCGTTCTCGTGCGGCAGGGACGCGTGCGCCGCGGGATCGCGCGTGGTCAGGAGCGCGCCGCTCCTCAGCAACGGCGCATGCGCCTGCTCGCCTTCCCGCAAGGCCGCGCAACTTCGCGGGCCCTCCTCTTCCAATCCGAGCGCCGGATTCTCCGAGTGCGTATCCTGGAGCTGCTGGCGGCGAGAGGCGGGAGGAAAGGGGCCGACTCGGGAGGGCCCGACTGGGGCGGGGCCGGGAGGCCTGTGAAAGTCTGTGAACGTCTGCGAGCGAGGCCGAGCCTCCGGAAGTGGCCGTTGTAAACACCGTCTTCCCTGTGTTTTTCCCATCTGTCTCCCTTTGCTATTCGTTCCCCCCTCCCCGGGTCCTAGAGTCCGTCAGGTTCAGACAGTTTTTGCTCTGACCCCGGCGATCTGCCTAGGCGTCTTTCTACCATTGAGATTTGGAGCTGCCCCTGGGGTCTGGGGTGTGCGGTCTGGACCACGGGAGTCCCCTGAGGTAACCACGGGATATGGGGGCTTCGAGGCGAACGATTCGGGCGGGGAGGTGTTGAGGAAGGTATGGGTGGTAGCAGTGAGAGTTATGGGGAACCCCGAGTTACTTCGTGGTTGTCCTGGCGCTGTTGGGGTCCATTGTGGGGACACGCCTCCACCTCGTTGGGCTGGGCCTCTCCGCCCACCTGGGGGAAGATCTTGGAGCGTCCTAACCAGAGACCGCTGCAGCAGCACTGAGTAGGGACCAGAGGACGGGACGCAGAGGGCCTGGACTTGGAATTTCTAAGGTTTACAACTCCGGACTGCCGGCTTTTCCTCTCCAAGAATCAGTAAACTCCTCGAGGACAAGGACCACGTCTTTTTCATCCTTAAAACAAACAAACAAACCAACAAACAAAAGAAAAACCAGCCACACACTAGACACTCTATCAATGTTTGATAAATGAAAGAATGAGTTGCTATCTGTAGTTTCTACTGCTCATTCACCAGGACTCCTAGGAGACAGAAAATCCAGCTGTTTTTCCAAGGCTGTAAATTTTCTGCTGTAAAACTGTTCTTTACTCCGTCATGATATTTATCCTAGGCAAATGCATATTTTTTCGTTTTAAGGAGATCTCTAATGATTCTGCCTAGCTTACTTGAGCAGCAATTTCAGTTGGTGTCCAACGCTTTCAAATACAGAACACATGAGTGTTTTGTATACTTCGCATGATTTTGGAGAGAAGACCCTACCATTTCGTCACCTGTTTTATTGAACAGTTAGCGCCTAGTAACAAACAATGGTAGAGTAGAAATGAACAGTGGTTTCCCTTAAAATGAAGATGAAATAAATATAGTGCAACTTGCTAAGAGGAAAGAGGGGACTAATTTTAGTTTGGAGCTTGAAGGTTTTTTTTTTTTTTTAAGATTTTATTTGTTTATTTGACAGACAGATCGCAATTAGGCAGAGAGGCAGGCAGAGAGAAAGGAAGGGAAGCAAGCTCCCCACTCAGCAGAGAGCCTGATGTGGGGCTCAATCCCAGGACCCTGAGATCATGACCTGAGCTGAAGGCAGAGGCTTTAACCCACTGAGCCACCCAGGTGCCCCATGGAGCTTAAAAGTTTTAATCGCTGGGTGACCTTAAGCAAATCACCTAAACTCACTAGACATTAGATTCCTTATCTGTCAAATAAGGAGGATGAACTTGGTCTTTAAATTCCTATTTAATTCCGAAATTCTTTGATTGTCTCAGCCCCCTTGTCATAGCCTTTTTTTTTTTTAAAGCTTTTATTTCTTTATTTGAGAGCGAGAATGAGCAGTGGGGAGGGGCAGAGGGAGAGAGAGAAAGAGAGAGAAGCAGACCCCCCCGGATAGCAAGGAGCCCCATGTGGGGCTAGATCCCAGGACCTAGGGATCATGACCCCAGCCGAAAGCAGACACTTAACTGATGGAGCCATCCAGATGCCCTGCCCTGTCATGGTCTTGTTGTGATGAAAGAACCAGACATCCTCTTTAAAGGTGAGATATGTAAGTCTGCAGATAAAGAGTCCCCCATCACAGATGTGGTTATTATTGAAGTTTAGCACTGTGTTGTGAAAGAGAATGGATTTAGGAAGTCAGCCAGATGTGGGTTTGTATTCTAACCCTCCCACTGAATATCTTTTTTTTTTTTTAAAGATTTTATTTATTTATTTGACAGAGATCACAAGGAGGCAGAGAGGCAGAGAGGCAGGCAGAGAGAGAGAGGACGAAGCAGGGTCCCTGCTGAGCTCAGAGCCCGATGCGGGGCTTGGTTCCAGGACCCTGGAATCATGACCCGAGCTGAAGGCAGAGGCTTTAACCCACTGAGCCACCCAGGCACGCCCCCCCCCCCTTTTTAAAGATTTTATTTATTTATTTGACAGAGGCAGTGAGAGAGGAAATATAAGCAGGGGGAGTGGAAGAGGGAGAAGCAGGCTTTCCACTGATCAGGGAGCCCGATGTGGGGCTCCATCCCAGGACCCTGGGGTTATGACTCAAGCTGAAGGCAAACACTTAATGACTGAGCCACCCAGGTGCCCCTGAATATCTTTTTTTAAAGAATTTTATTTATTTATTTTAGAGGTGGGGTGGGGGGCAGAGGGGGAGGGGAGAAAATCTCAAGCAGACTGGGGTTGAGTGCTGAGTCCCCCGTTGGGGCTTAATCTCAAAACCCTGTGATCATGACCTGAGCTGAAACCAAGAGTCAGTCAGTTGCTCAAGCAACTGAGCCACCCAGGCATCTCTCCCACTGAATGGCTTTATTTATTAATAGTTAGTAGTATTGTAGCTTTATTATCGTTACTCATCCTCTCTAAGCATCAGTGTTCTCGTCCATGAAATATGTGTAATCATCTTATAGGGCTATTGGGAGGATTCAGTGAGATCAGTTACAGTTAGCCTAGTATCTGGCACATAGTAAGTGCTCAATAATAGTGGTTTCTATGTTTTTATCCTCAGACACACTAAGAGATGAGATCCCCAACCCCACCCACACCTTTCCCTTTCCCCCTGATCTGTACAGACACACTGAGAGATGAATACATTCTGTACGACCCACTGAAGGACTCAGCTGTGAGGTCGGAAACTACATTTGTACCAGCCGTGGCTCTGCAACCTAAAGTAGAATGGTCTTTCTGGCTGGTGCTTAACTCTTAGGATGTTTAGATCATTGATTCCTTGGCCTCGATCACCTATATTTGGCTCTACTACCTGTGTCTAAAAAACTTCTTATTGAAGAATGATATATATAACACCCCCTCATCTATTTTAGTAGGAATGGTGAGAGAAGTCCAACTCCATTATCAAGAGAAGATTCATCTATTAATAGAGTAACAAAAAAGCTGATCTAAACTTTGCCTTTATCCATCACTGCTACAGAATGGCCTAGATTGGGCCTGAGCCTGTGGAAGTGCCATTTGTATTGAGAATCCACTGGAGGTCTGAGTTATCTTTCATTAACAGGACTCTGCCTTGTAGTTAGTTGGGGGGTGGGGTGGGGTGGGGTGTGGGTAAGGATGAGCTGTGTTTGAAAAATCTGTGGTAGGGAGAAATGCTTTTCTGATAAGCAAGGTCTCATGTGCTCTCTGGCTGGGGGTGAACCATGTCTTGATGGCAAATAGCAAGACACAGCAGAACTGTGCAGTCTGCTAATTTGGGCTTGAATCCAGATTCTGTCACTTGCTAGAGCTGAGACTTTGGACAGGAGATTGAATGAATGTCTTTTTTTTTTTTTTTTTTTTTTGACAGACAGAGATCACAATTAGGTGGAGAGGCAGGCAGAGAGAGAGAGAGGAGGAAGCAGGCTCCCCGCTGAGCAGAGAGCCTGATGTGGGGCTTGATCCCAGGACCCTGGGATCATGACCCTAGTGGAAGGCAGAGGCTTAACTCACTGAGCCACCCAGGCGCCCCTGAATGATTATCTTTAAGCCTCAGTTCCTTAGGTATAAAGTGGGAACATTAAAAAGTATCTTCCCCTTGAGGTTGGTGTAGAGTGCCAGTGTAGAGATATAGAAAGTTCTTAGCATACTGTCTGGAGAAGGGACGTTTGTCATGGTTGGCATGATGAGAGTAGGAGTGGCTTTGAGGTATTGGATAGTTTTTTTTTTTTTTTTAAGATTTTATTTATTTACTTGACAGAGATCACAAGTAGGCAGAGAGGCAGGCAGAGAGAGAGAGAGAGAAAGCAGGCTCCCTGCTGAGCAGAGAGCCCGATGCGGGGCTCGATCTCAGGACCCTGGGATCATGACCTGAGCCGAAGGCAGAGGCTTTAACCCTCTGAGCCACCCAGGCGCCCCTTGGATAATTTTTTTATAGATAATGATGTATTGAATGTTTTCAAATGGAAAGCGTTATTTACAGAGTTAGCTACACGTTGGAGAAAGGCTGATGTTGATTGCATATCATAAGGAATTTGTAATTACTCATACAGATTAGCTAAAGTATTTATCTTGTGGAGTTTCGTAGGGTAGTTTCAAGTAAGGCTTGGAACACATTATGTGAGGAACCTATAATTCTTTGACCTAGCTCCCTATATCACTGACATTTCTATTACTGTACCTAGCTACTTTCCTCATCATTCATTACCTTTTCACTCTGGTGTATGAAAAGGGAGCTTTTACTACATCATCTCTGCCACATTCAGTTGTTTAGAACTCTACTCAAGGTTTAAATTCAGCCACAGATCTGACTTCGGCTCTTCATTGATGTTGTCTTCCTAATACATGCAGAGGTAGGCCCTTGAACCCTAGTGTCATCAAGAGCTGATATCAGAGACAGAGAAGAAGAAAATAAGATTTTGCTAAATGAGACTTTTTAGATAGGATTTCTTTTTGGATAATGAATTTGAAAAATTGAGATATAACTCATCTATCAAAATTCATAGTATTAAAGCATACAATTCATTGGTTTTTAGTATATTCACCGTGTTCCACGGCAATCACTGCTATCCAATTCCAGAACATTTCCATTCCTCCCAAAAAGAAACGTCATACCGTTTAGCAGTTAGATCCAATTCCCCCTCTCCCTACCCTCCGGCAACCACAAGTCTACTTTTTATTTCTATGTGTTTCATCATTCTATACATTTCATATATGTGGAGTCCTACAATCTGTGGTCTTTAGTGTTTGGCTTCTTTCACGTAGCATATGTTTTCAAGGTTTACCCATGTGTCATATATCGTTACTTCATTCCTTTTAATGGTTGAATAATATTTCATATTTTATTGACCCATGGGTCAGTTAATGGACATTTGGGTGTTTTTTTATTCTTTGGCTATAATGACCAATGTCACTCAGACATTTGTGCACAAGTTTTTGTTGAAATCCAGTAATTACCTTAGAATGTGTCTGGTGGTCAGTATTCTCTGGTATACAGTTTGCTTTTCAAAATGTACGTTAAGGGGCACCTGGGTGGCTCAGTCGTTAAGCGTCTGCCTTTGGCTCAGGTCATGATCCCAGGGTCCCTGCATTGGGCTCCCTGCTCGGCAGGAAGCCTGCCTTCTCCCTCTCCCACTCCCCCTGCTTGTGTTCCCTCTCTCACTGTCTCTCTCTCTGTGTCAAATAAATAAATAAATGAAATCCTAGAGAAAAATGTACATTAAAATCTTTTTGTTACTTCAGGAAAGTTTTCCTGGATTACAGTTTTTAGTATTCTGTTTCCTTGCTTTTGTCTTCTTACTCGGGGACTCCTGCTATCTGCACGATGGTTATTCTTTGCCTGGATTCAGTATTTTGTCACTTTCTTTTGAATCCTTTTGATCTCTCCTTCATTTCTTTTCACTCAGAAAACTTTCCTCTTTTTATTTCCTGTGTCCTTTCAGGCATTTTCTGTCATGTGTATTTACTTTGTGTCTCCTCTTAGTCTTCATCACTGAAATTTTTTTCTTTCATTTCTAAGTCTAATGGTTGTCACCTTCTTTCGGAGTTTTCTAATTCTAATTCTTTCCTGTCTTGTACCATTTTGTTAGGGTCTTTTAGCTTATCTTGAAATAGTACATTACAGGTTTCATCTGTTTTGTGGTCATGTCTTTCTGTCATGCTTTCATTTGTAGCATTCAATTCTGCTCCCTTTTTACCTGTGTTCACTTCATATGGGATTTGACCACATACTTTTCTGTTGCTTATTTTTTTTTAAGATTTTATTTATTTATTTGACAGAGAGAGATCACAAGTAGGCCGAGAGGCAGGCAGAGAGAGGGGGGAAGCAGGCTCCCTGCTGAGCAGAGAGCCCGATGTGGGCCTTGATCCCAGGACCCTGAGATCATGACCTGAACCAAAGGCAGAGGCTTAACCCAGTGAACCATCCAGGCGCCCTGTTGCTTATTTTTATGGAAGATTAATTTAATTTAACTTTGAGATTGGGGCAAGCTTCAGGAAAGCGTCTCTGACTTCATGGAACTCTCTCTTGTGGTGTTTTGTTAGTGTTAAAAACTGAGGTGGCTTGTTTCTGAGATTTCCTGGCTCTGTTTCCTCCTACAGTTTGGTTTGGGCCATTGCTTTGACTTTATTTCCCTTATCCTGCTTGGTTTGGATTCCATTCTTTGCAGTTTCTCTTTAGTGGGGGCCTCTGTCCAGGAAAGCGACCTTGGCAGGTCAGATCTGAGAGTTCATAGACCAGACTGTACCAACTCTTTCAAGACTTTCTTACCGTATGCCTGTATGGCATGCTGACTTGTGGAACGGGCAGACTTCTCCCAGATTCACCTGCTGTTCCCAGATTGGCTTGCAGTGCTCCCCACTGAATATATGCTGGCTCTTTTTGGTGTTCTTTCAGATGTAGTCTTGTTATTTCCATACTCTGCTTTCTCCTCCTTATATACTTCTGTGGCTCCCATATAGGTTTTGTGGCTGTTGGTGGTTTGCCCTTATTCGTTTGTATTTTGTAGCTTCTTGTTGTAAACAGAAATGTAAATTAGATTTTCTAGTTTCTCTAATTACCTTAGATAGTTTTTACAATGTTCCTCATTTAAATTAATAAATTGTAGAATAATGACTTTATGAAAGACACTTGCAGGCAGGGCTGATGTGAGAACTCATTTTTGTACCTTTCTTGTCCCTCAACTTCTTTTTCTTCTTAACCCCACAAGAGTATTTTCAAATTTCTTATCCATTAATTTTTTTGAAGTTTATTTATTTTTTAGTAATCACTATACCCAATGTGGGGCTCAGACTCATGACCCTGAGATCGAGAATCGCATCCTCTTCAGCCTGAGTCAGCCAGATGCCCCCCTCCCCCGCCCCATATTAGTTTTTTATTGGTGTAGGACAAATTACCACAAACTTAATGGCTTGAAACAGCACCCAGGTCAGGAATCTGGGCACAGCTTAGGTGGATCCTCTCTTCAGAGTTTCACTGGGCTGCAGTCAGGGTGCTGGCTGGGCTGTGTTCTCATCTGGAGGTTTGACTGGAAAGAATCCACTTCGCAGCCTATTTCGATTGTTGGCAGAATTTGTGTCCTGTTGGCATCTGTATGACTGAGGCATCTAGCTTTTTGCTGGCTGCGGGGTGGAGGCTGCCTGCTGTTTCAGTTTTGTAGCCCTCTCTGTAGGTCCCAGCACGGCATTTTGCTTCTTCATGCCCCGCAGGAGATTGTCATTTTGGTCTTTTAAGACAGAGTCTTACATAACATAATGTAATCATGGGAGTGACGTATCACCATCCCTTTGCCATATTCTCTCGGTCAGAAGCAAGTCACAGGTTCTGCCCACAGCAAAGGGGAGGCTATTATACGAGAGAAAAATACCAGTGGGGGCCAAGATTGTGGGGACCATCTGTCTACCACATTATCTGTGTCAATGATCTGGAAATTGATGAAACTTGCTCCTGAGCCATAGAAGACACTTTTATCTCTAGAAGACTACTCCCATTTGAAGATGTTAGCTACCAAAATGATGGGCTAAAAAAAAGATTCTCTTCAGTTTAGCTTTATTGAAACAACTTTATTAAAATTTGGTTAACTACCTCTTCCCACAGTTTTCTGCCCCAAATAAAGCCAAAACAAAACACAACAGACATTATTAAAGTCCTATCTATGTAAATTCTTTTCTTGTGGGTGAGAGATTCTGTTTGTGCCTATCGTGACACATATGCATACCCGTGTGTGTTTAATCTTTTGCATAAAAGTAGAAACATTTTACAAACATGCTTTTGAGCCTGGGACTCCATTCTAAGTTTTAATTCTTTAACTTCCATTCTGAAGACAGTTTTTCTGGAGTCTGATCTTTGGGAGTATGGTGGTAAAGTGAAAAGACTCTGGGACTCAGTATCAGAAGAGCTTGACTGAGTCTTTAGTATCCTCCATTTAGTAGCAGACTGGCCATAAGCAAGTCATTTAGCCTCTTTGAATCAGATGAGCTTCCTTAATTGCAGTGAGGACAATAAACCTCAGGTAGGACAGTTTTTACATTGCAGTGTTGTAAGGATCAGGGTTCACTGTATTAGGTGCTCAACAAATCGACAGTGGTATGTTTGTCTACCACTGTTTCCAAACTTAGTCTTTCAGGTCCCTAGAGAAATAGGATTTTCCCTCTATCTTGTTGAAAACTCCATCTTCTTTGTTCTGGGGCAAAGTATTCTAGTATCAGCTAACTCACTGTTTCAAAGATCTGTTGGTGGGTGTCTGTAGAAATCATTACTCAGTTCGTAGCACCTTGGTTTTGTCTCCATCTTGGTAGGCTTTTCTTTCAGTGACATCTTTGAGGGTTTATTAGGAGCAGGGAGAGAGAGTTAGTTTTTTTTTTTTTTTTTTTGTCTTCTAGATATCCCTGTACACTGATAATTCTACTAAATAATTCTTTTGATACATCTTTCACCTAGAACAAATCACCTTAAGTATTACTTACTCCCTTCCTTTATCAGGGACTATAATATTTTCCCAGAGGTTTTGTATTCGTGATAGAAACTTACAATGACTGAGCATTGTATAATGCTGTATATGTTACTTAAATGTCAAATATATGAGATTGATGTAATTATCCCCTTATTATGGTTGAGGAAACCAGTGCAGAGAGTGTAAATGACTTGCCCACGACCACATACTTGGAAGATACTTAAAAGCATCCTAACTCAGATCCCTCTGAATCCAAAGCTTACAGTCTTTCTTAGGATATTGGAGTTCTGCTAGGAATACCAAGAGATGCTTGTGAGATCTTGATATTTGTGTCTGTCTGAACATAATCCTTGTTATCTCTGTTTAAAATATTCACTCAGAGGTTCTTTCATACCATATATATATATATACACATATGTATGTGTGTGTGTGTGTGTGTGTGTGTGTGTATAAAAGCAACTTACTTTAAATGGTTAGCTTTGTATAATTTGGAGTACCTCCCATAGAAGAAAGTTCTAGACAGGCCAGTGTAAGTGACAACTATTCTCCTCTTTCCATATTCCTTATTTCCTTATTCCTCCTTGATCTTTAACATAAGGACTTTGAAAATTACCATGAGATCATTTGTGGGAAGTACTTTGGTCTCATTGATTGTAGCATTACATTAAAAATATATCATTTATGAAAATGGCTTTAGGGACTTAAAAATGTCCCTGGATTTCATTTTCTTTCAAACTGCATTCTATTCTCTAGAAATAGGCTCTACATTCCTTTTCTAGTTCAAAATTAATTTGTCACTATTTTATTAAGATCATTTTTTCTTGGGGCATGGGTGGCTCAGTTGGCTAAGCATCTGCCTTCAGGCTTGGGTCATGCTCCTGGGGTCCTGGGATTGGGGCTCATGTGGGGCTCCCTGCTCAGTGGCGAGTCTGCCTCTCCCTCTGCCTCTGCCCATCTCCCACCTTGTGCTCTCTTTCTGTTGAATGAATAAATAAATAAATACAATCTTGAAAAAAAGAAAAAATTTTCTCTTCATTTGAGAAATTAAAATAATCTCATAGAATTTTTTTGTATAATAAGGAATATCTTTTTAACATTTTGTCATTTTTGCTTCTAATCTTTTTTTTAATTTTATTTTTTAAATTTTTATTTATTTATTTTTTTAAAAGATTTTATTTATTTATTTGACAGGCAGAGATCACAAGTAGGCAGAGAGGCAGGCAGAGAGAGAGAGGGAAGTAGGCTCCCCGCTGAGCAGAGAGCCCGATGTGGGGCTCGATCCCAGGACCCTGAGATCATGACCTGAGCCGAAGGCAGAGGCTTTAACCCACTGAGCCACCCAGGTGCCCCCTAATCTTTTTTTTAAAAAGAAATCAGGGGTGCCTGGGTGTCTCAGCTAAGCAGCTGACTTTGGCCCAGTAGTGATTCCAGGGCCTGGGATCACACCCTATTTCAGGCTCCTTGCTCAGTGGGCATCTGCTTCTCCCTCTCCCTCTGCTTGCTGCTCTCCCTGCTTGTGCTCTCTCTCTCTGTGTCAAATAAATAAAATCTTAAAAAAAAGAAAAAGAAACATAATAGTTTTTAAATGTTTTCATGTTTGTTATAAAATAATTTAAAAAATACAAGTAAGGTGGGTCTGGGTGTCTCAGTTGGTTTAGTGTCTGCCTTCCCCTCAGGTCCTGGGATCAGCCTGGTGTTGGGCTCCCTGCTCAGTGGTGTGTCTGCTTCTCCCTCTCCTCCTTGCTTATGCTCTCTCTCAAATAAATAAATAAAATAAAAAAAAATACAAGTAAGATGAATGAAAAGACAAAAATCACTCATAGTCTCAGGACTCTTATTATAACTCATACAACTCACTGTTATATTGTTTACTATTTTAACAGACTTCAGCCCATCTAACCTGTAAGCCACAGACACCTGGGAGAGGTGTAATCCTCAATAACGAAGTACACGACTCAGAAACAGTGGGCTGTTTTCAGAGAGTTGGAAGAGACTTACCATGAGTTTAAACGCTTCAAGTAATGCCCCCGGTGACGCCCAAAGGTAAGCCGCCCGTCCTTTCCTGTAGTCAGGGAGTGCTTTCGGGTTGCGGGTAGCTGGGAGAGGTCAGTGGTTGGGGGTGCTGATTGTAAGGATTCTCGGGGTGTGCTAAGGGAGGCCAAAGCTTCAGGTGCCTGGAGGAGCAGGCAGGATGCATCACAGCAACAGGAACGGGATGTAGGGACTGTATGCTGTGGTCTGTGCTCCTTTGTTAACTCATCCCTGAAAGTCAGTGTATGTACTTTCTCCTGCCCTTAGAGAACCGCTTATTCTTCTCTCCTTTTCCAGTCTTTTCTCCTTCTCATTGTTTTGCTTATTCCCAGTTCTGTGTGGTCATTACTCTGGCCTGCCCTGATCTCTGTAACTCCAGTTGTTCTAACTTCGTGCCCCAGCGGTAGTTCATGGCTACTCTCGAGGCCTTCTTTGGGTTTTAGCTCCCCTTCCACTGCTCTTGAACTTGGAGTTTATGTTCCAAGAATTGCCGCTGTTCCTCTTTTTTGTACCCTTGATATCTGCCTTTGGGTGAGGTGCCTGCTTTGGGTTGATTCACCTCTGATGTGAAAAATAGAAAACTCTGAGTCTAGAATATAAAACTGAGCCAATTCAGAGAGTGCAGTCCAAAGTGTTTTGGTTTACAAAGAACTAAATACAGAAATTGAAAGTGTTTAGAAACTTTTATAATCATGTAGCAGAGTAATTTTCTGTTTGTTAAATCTAGTAATAAAACACTTGGGGTTGCATTTTATCTCTTTTTAAAATTTCTTTTCAAAACAATTTCTTGTTCACTGTGGAAAACAGCATGGAGTTTCCTCAAAAAGTTGAAAATAGAGCTACTCTACGACCCACTAATTGCACTACTGGGTATTTACCCCAAAGATACTAATGTAGTGATCCAAAGGGGCACTTGCACCCCAATATTTATAACAACAGTGTCCACAATAGCCAGACTATGGAAAGAGCCCAGATGTCCATCCACAGATGAACGGATAAAGAAGATGTGGTGTATACACACAATGGAATACCATGCAGCCATCAAAAAAGCTGAAATCTTGCCATTTGCAATGGGGTGAATGGAACTAGAGGGGATTATGCTAAGTGAAATAAGTCAATCAGAGAAAGACAATTATCATATGATCTCACTATGAGGAATTTGGGAAACAAGACAGAGGATCATAGGGGAAGGGAGAGAAAAATGAAACAAGATGAAACCAGAGAGGGAGACAAACCATAAGGGACTCTTTATCTCAGGAAACAAACTGAGGGTTGCCAGAGGGGAGGGGTGGAAGGGATGAGGTGGCTGGGGGGTGGGCATTGGGTATGTGCTGTGATGTGATGAGTGCTGTGAATTGTGTAAGACTGATGAATCACAGAAACCCTGAAACAAATAATAAATTGTATGTTAATAAAAAAAATTTCTTGTTTAGTCATTTTAAAGATAGTTATTTTAGTCATTTTAAATATATTTTACGAAAGCACCATTTGTTGGGGGGAAGAGTCCTTGCTCCTACTTAGTTTGAGAAGAACTGATCTAGACTGCCTTTTCAGCAAGGATGTGTGGGTGGGGCAAGGACCATGACTAACATGTACTTCACCTATAAATAGGATTTGCCACAGAAACATTTTCCACCTATCTTTAGAAGCTACCTTCAATCTTTTCTGGAGCAAGGTATGAAATACGTGAATAAAATATAAACTTTTGACTTCAGTAAAAACGTTTTCACTTTTGGAGGGAACATCTTGCCATACAAGTATCTCTCATATTTTTTTTAAGATTTTATATATTTATTTGTCAGGGGGAGCGAGAGCACACACAAGCAGGGAGGAGCGGCAAGCAGAGGGAGAAGCAAGCTCCCTGCTGAGCAAGGAACCTGATGCAGGACTCGATCCCAGGACCCCAGGATCATGTCTGTCCTGATTTTTAATGACTAAATTGCTCTTTAGAATTTTAGAATCTGGCTAAATGAAGTTAAACTTTGCTATTTACCACTAATTTACTTTCTGTAGATTTGCCTTTTCTGAACAACTCATACACATGGAATCATACCGTATGTGGTCTTTTGTGTCTGGCTTCTTTCACTAGGCATGTTCTGCAGGCTTATCCTGTTGTTAACAGGTATCAGTACTGTTTCTTTTTTATTGCTGGGTAGTATTCTGTTGTATGGCTGTAGCACATTCTGGTTACCCACTCATCAGCTCATGGCCTTTTAGGTGGTTTCCACTTTTTGGCTGTTATAAGTAATGCTGCTCTGAGCATTTGTGTGCGAGCCTTTGTGTGGGGATGGTTTCATTTCTCTTGGGTAGATTCCTTTAATTTGTATTTTCCTAATGAGTAATGAGATCCTGTATGTGATTTTTTTGCCATTTGTATATCTTCATTGGTGAAAAGCCTCTTCAGATCTTTTGCTCGTTTTGCTCGTTTTTAAATTAGTTGTCTTTTTGCTGTTGAGCTTTAAGCATTTTTTAAAAATATATTTTGGATACAAGTCTTTTGTCTTTTATCAGATATATAATTGCACATATTATCTCCCACTTGTTGGCTTGACTTCATTTTCTTAATAATGTCTTTAGAAGTGCAAATGTTTTAAATTTTTATAAAGTCCAATTTTTTTCTTTTTTCTTTTTTTCTTTTAAGTAGGCTCCATGCCCAATATGGGGCTTGAACTCATGACCCTGAGATCAAGAGTCACATGTTGTACTGACTGAGCCAGCCAGGTGCCCTTCCAATTCTTTTCCTTTATGGATTGTGCTTTTGGTTTTGTATCTATGAAATCTTTGCCTAACTTTAGGTCATGAAGATTTTTCTCCTATGTTTTTTTCTAGAAGTTTTATAATTTCAGTTTTTACATTTAGGTCTATGCTCCATTTGAACTTACTATTTTTTTTTTTTTTTTTTTTTAGAGAGCAAGCATGCATGTAGGGGGTTGGGGGGAGGGACAGATGGAGAAGGAGAGAGAATCTTCTTGTTTTAAAGATTTATTTATTTTAGGGGAGCCTGGATGGCTCCGTTGGTTAAGTGTCTGCCTTTGGCTCAGGTTGTGATCCCAGAGTTCTGGGATTGAGCCCTTCTTCATCTGGCTCCCTGCTCAGCAGGTAGTCTGCTTGTTCTCTGCCATTGCCCATGCCCCCTGCATGTGTGTGCCCGTGCGCGTGCGCGTTCTCTCTCTCAAATAAATAAATAAATAAACTCTTTAAAAAATTATTTATTTCAATGAGGGAGTGCATCTCTAAGTGAGCATGGGGGGCGGAGAAGAAAGCGACAGAGGGGGAGAACCTAAGCATGACACTGAGATCATGACCTGAGCTGAAATCAAGAGTCCAACACTTAACTCACTGAGCCACCTAGGTGCCCCTTAAGTTACTTTTTATGTATGGTGTGAGGTGAGGGTCTAAATTAATGTTTTTATCCAATTGTTATCAGCACCATTTATTGATAAGACTGTTTTTTCCCCACTGAATTGTCTTGACACCTCTGTTGAAAATTAATGGACCAAATGTATATAAGTTTATTTCTAGAGTCTCAAGTATGATACAATGAGCTACCAATGAGCTACATGTCTCCTTTTTTGCTTTTTTTAAAAAAAATATTTTATTTATTTATTTGACAGACAGAGATCACAAGTAGGCAGAGAGGCAGGCAGAGGGGGAGGGGGAAGCAGGCTCCCCTCTGAGCAGAGGGCCTGATGCGGGGCTCGATCCCAGGACCCTGAGATCATGACCTGAGCTAAAGGCAGGGGCTTAACCTACTGAGCCACCCAGGCTCCCTCTAAATCTATTTTTCTGATGCTATTGTGAATGGAATTATTTTTCTAAACTTCATTTTTGAATTATTCATTGTTAATATGTAGAAATGTAATTGATTTTTGTATATTGATTTTACATTCTGTGACCTTGCTAAAATTATTGTTTTAGTTCCAGTGTTTTTGTTTCTTAATGAATTTCTTAGGATATTTTTACAGGATCATGTCCTTTGCAATTAAGGACAGTTTTACTTTTGAGTAGCCTGGCTGGCTCAGTTGGTAGAACATGGGGTCGTGAGTTTAAGCTCTACATTGGGCATAGAGCTTACTTTAAAAAAAAAAAAAAAGGATAGTTCTATTTCTTTCCTTCTAATATATATATGCCCGCTTGTCTGTCCATCCTTCCTTTCTTTCCTCCTTCCTCCCTCCCTTGCCTCCTTCCTTCTTTCCTCCCTCCCTCCTCCAGTACAGTCTCAAATAGAAGTGGACAGGTTTGTTTTGTTCCCAGTCTTAGGGGAAGCTCAGTCTTTCACCAATAAGTATGCCACTTGTAAGTTTTTCATAGAAGCTTTTTACCAGATTAAGTAAATTTCCTTGAATTCCTAGTTTGTTGCATTTTTTAAAAAATCACGAATCGATGTTGAATTTTATCAAGTGCTTTTTCTATATCTATTGAGATGATTATGTAATTTTTATTTTTTATTTTAGTAAAATGGTATATTACATCAATTGATTTTCAGACATTAAGTCAATTTTCTGTTTTTGGGACAAATCCCACTAGGTCATGTTGTGTAATATTTTTAAGACGTTGTTGGATTTGGTTTGCTAATGTTTTGTTGAGGATTTTTTGCATTTCTGTTCATGAGGGATACTGGACTGTAGTTTTCCTTTCTTGTGCTGACTCACTTTGATCTTATGTAATCTGGGTTAATAGAATGAGCTGGGGAGTGTCTCCACCTCTTCTAAAGTGAGGATTGATATTATTTCTTCTTTAAATGTTTGGTAGAATTTACTAGGGAAGCCATATGGATTTGAGTTTTCTTTGTGTTTAGATTTGTAAAATTATTAATCCAATATCTTTAGCTCTTATAGATCTATTCAGATTTGTTTCTTTTGGGGTTAATTTTGATAACATCAGTTTTTCTAGGAATTTGTCCATTTGCTCTACATTGTCTAACTTGTCAGCATACAGTTGTTCATAGTATTTATTATAATCCTTTTAGGTTGGTAGTGTCATTTCCTCTCTCATTCTTTATTTTTATAATTTGAATCTTTTCTCTCTTTTTGTCAATCTAGCCAAAGTTTAGCAGGTTTATTGATCTTTTCATATTTGTTTATTTATTTGTAAAGATTTTATTTATTTGTAAGACAGAGAGAGAGAAAGAGAGAGCACAAGCAGGGGGAGTGGGAGAAGGAGAAGCAGGCTCTCTGCTGATCAAGGAGCCTGTGCTCAGATGCTTGATTCCAGGACTTTGGGATCATGACCTGAGCGGAAGACAGATGGTTAATCCAGTGAGCCACCCAGGTGCTCAGCGGATCTGAGTGCTTGTCGATCTTTTTAAAGAGCCAACTTTTGGTTTCATTGATTCTCTGTGTTGTTTTATTTTAGTCTTATCTTAAATAATTATCTTAAAAAATTAAAGTTACACAGGTATGTTATTTAAAGAATCTCATGTTCTGAAAGGCTTACTCACTGACATTAGGAAAAAGAGCAGTGCTCATTTGCTTGTGACAAATTACCCTCTTGATCTCTAGAAACAATCATTTTCAACTCAGATAATTTTTATTTTAAAATATTTTTAATTTGATTTAATTTATTTAAAATTTTGTGTTTTTTGTACGGAGGTATGGTTGACACACAATGATACATCAATTTCAGTACAAGATAGTGATTCAACAAGTCTGTGTTACGCTGTGCTCACGAAAAGTGTGGCTGCCATCTGTCACTATACTCTGTGCAGGGGCCAAACTCATCTCTGTATCGTTCCAATTTTAGTATATGTGCTGCCAAAGCCAGCACTGTCACCATTCTGAAATGATTTTTAAGATCTAAAGCTCTCAAAAAAATTTTTTATATTGCTATTTGATTTTTCAGGTTTAGCTGTTATTCTACTGACTGCCCACACTACAAAAGATCATGATTTAGTTTTCATTCATGTTTCTCTCCTTTTTCTGTCCTCTCTATATTTAGTTTTTCATGTTTACATTATTATAATTTAAAAAACTTTCCAGTTGATTTTCTCCATTTAGAAATTTTTTTTTTGTCTTTTTCGTACATTGTTTTCCTTGGATTTGATCATTGTTTCATTGATTGTTTAGTTTGCTTAATTTCTGTGAATTTATCATGAATTCAGCTTCATACTCCAATCAAGTGGCATAAATATTTCAGTATGTTCAGACAGTTGAAGTATTCTGGGTTTATCTTTATTTTATTTTTTAAAAGATTTTATTTATTTATTTGACAGAGATCACAAATAGGCAGAGAGGCAGACAGAGAGAGAGGAAGGGAAGCAGGCTCCCTGCTGAGCAGAGAGCCTGATGTGGGGCTCTATTCCAGGACCCTGGGATCATGACCTGAGCGGAAGGCAGAGTCTTTAACCCACTGAGCCACCCGGGGCCCCCTCTGGGTTTATCTTTAATTGTAATTCTAACACAATTAACACACAGTGTTATATTAGTTTCAGATGTACAATACAGTGATTCAGCAATTCTATACGTTACCTGGGGCTCATCAAGATAAATGTATTCTTAATCCCCTTCACCGCTTTCACCCAGCCCCCTGAAGCCTTCTGTTGTCTTCTGTGTGCATCTTCTTCAGGAAGTCACTCCTGGAGGCTTTGGCCAGTCCAGTAGTCCAGCTGGGACACATTGCCCATTAGGTGTTGTGCTTTCGTCTCAGGGTCACACTTGTCACCTGCTGTTCCTTTCTTAACTCTCCTAGAAATTCCATTGCTGTTTTTTCTGTCTTGAATCCCTTATATCTGGGGTCCCATGTCTTTCTCCTCCTCAGTTTAGGTCCTCTTGAGAAAGTTCATGGGAGGTAATCGTTTTGGAGCCTTGCAGATCTGAAATAGTCTTCCTCATTCCCTTGTAACTTGTTGGGCATAAAATTCTAAATGGAAATTATTTTCCCTTGGTATTTTTTCAGCATCCAGGAGATTTTTTTTTTTTTAAACATTTACTTATTTAGCTTTTCATTCCTTAGTTTGTATTTTGATTTCCAAGAGTTCTGTTTTCTGTTCTGGGAATATTTCATTTTTTTTCAATCACATTCAGTTTTTGTTTTATGGATGTTCGTTCTTCTCTTATTTTTCTGGAGGTTTTTTCCCCACCTCTTTTTTATGTTCCCTTTTCCCTGCATAATCTTTGAGGGTTCTTCCTCTCTGTCCCCTGATTTGGTCTCTGTCTTTCTAAACTCTTGCTTCCTAAATTCTGGCAATCCTCACCTCACTGCTCTCTTATTTAAAACTAGGGGCCTAACAAGCTGATTGGAAGCCCAGTGTGTAAGGTTTGTGTTTATGGCATTCTCTATAGGGTGATGTGGTTAAGGTGTTTGTTGAAGAACCCCTAGCGTTGGGGCGCCTGGGTGGCTCAGTAGGTTAAACCTCTGCCTTCAGCTCGGGTCATGATCTCGGGGTCCTGGGATCCAGCCCGGCATCGGGCACTCTACTCAGCGCGGAGCCTGCTTGCTCCTCTCTCTCTGCCTGCCTCTCTGCCTGCTTGTGATCTCTATCTCTCTCTGTCGAGTAAGTAAATAAAATCTTAAAAAAAAAAAAAAAACAAAAATCCCCAGCGTTAGCATCTTTAGGTCTTTTTCACTTTGCTGGTTTTCACCTTCTATTCTCTTCTTGGCTGCCATTATTCTGGCATACAAGATGTTGTACAAGACCAGCATAATTTTTGACTCAAGTTTCCTATTTTTGATATGGGGTCTTATACCATTTCTATCTGATGTCTCTAAGCCACAGACCTTCTGTTTTATCCTCTCCCGGGAATAAACTGTTACTTTGTGCTTGCCAGAGTAAGAGAGATTAGTACCCAGTTGTGTGGTGTGTAGGGTAAAGGATCCCAGAATCTCATTTCTTTGGCAGACTTTCAACCAATTATCTTGTTTTTGCTCTACTTTTACCCCGTTTTCAAAGCTGTTGTCAATTAATTGAGCTTTTGGGTGTAAACCAGGTGGTGGGTATTATGGAGGGCATTTATTGCATGGAGCACTGGGTGTGGTACATAAACAATGAATTTTGGCACACTGAAAGTAAAATAAAATAATATGGGTGTAAATCAGGTTGCTTTCCCCATCTTTGGCTTTAAATTCAGTTCTCTTATGTAAATCAATTACCACTGTCCACCTGATTCCAACTTCTGATATTTTATAGCTGTTACTCATCTTTATGCTCTTTCTCCTTGTGGATTTTTATCTCTAAATTCTCTTTGCTGATACTTTCATTAAATTTTTAATTTTTGGGAGAGAGGGCTTTAATCTGCCTTTTTTTTTTTTTCTTTTTAAAGATTTGTTTATTTGTTTCAGAGAGAGAGGGAGAGTAGGGAAGGGGGCAGAGGGCAAGAGAATCCCAAGCAGACTCTGCACGCAGCATGGAGCCCATCTTGGGGCTCCATCTCATGGTGCCGAGGTCACACCTGAGCCAAAACCAAGAGTCGGAAGTTCAACCTACTATGCCACTGAGGCACCCCTAGTCTGCTCTGTTTAAGCCTAAAATCTATGTTCTGTCACTCATGCTTTTTCTTTTTGTAATATATATTTATTACACTTGCAATAAATAAAATATAGTACTTAAAAACGTAAAAAGATCTCAATATTTTCCAAAAGTATGCAGTCTGTGGGGTATCTGGGTGGCTCAGTCAATTAAGCATCTGCCTTAGGCTCAGGTCATGTTCCCAGACTTCTGGGATCAGGACCCAAGTCAGGCTCCCTGCTCAGCCGGAAGCCCGCATCTCCCTCTCCTTCCTGCTTGCGCTGTCTCTCTCACTACCTCTGTCTCTCTCTCAAATAAGTAAATAAAATCTTAAAAATGAAACACAACTGCACAGCTTGTGATAGAATCATTACTTTAAGTAGCATCTTGAAATGGTAGTTTGTTTCTAGCCACACACTGTCTAGCTTTTGCAGTCAGCATCTTTTACTAGATGGTACATTTCTTTAGGCCCAAGACCATATCATGTTGCTTGTGATTTTGAAAAATAACTTATTAGAAATACCAGAAGTAGACTTAGTGAGAATTAAATCTTATGATCTCATTTTATAGGTTGAAGAATGCCTCATCTGATATAAAACAAATGTTTAAAAATGAAACAGACTTGGACATCACTGCTGAACTCAGAAAGAAGCTCCACCGGGCTAAGAAGGAAAAATTAGAAATAACAACTAAGCACAATGCAGAGGTAAAATTTTTTTCCGTCAATGTTGAAAGTAAAATTTGGTTATTTTAGATTCATTTTATATTACAGGCTCCATGTTTAACATTACCATGGCATTCTTGAGCTTAAAAAAGAAATTATAATAAAGAAAACAGGTTTTTTTTTTTTTAATATAGAGGAACTATATGGGAGTGTTAAGTAGAAGTTTAATGAATTACTATATTTGTATGTTGTCTTAAATTTAATTAATGGGTTAAACTTGACAAAAAAGTAACTGATGAATGCCTTTAGTGACTAAAGGATTTATGAATTAGACATTTTTGAAATTTTAATTTAGGTTCTTTATGGCTCAATCATGGAACAATCTTAAGTAGATCTGAGTATGGGATTTTTAAAAAGATTTATTTATTTATTTTAGAGAGAGAAAGAGAGGGAGAGCATGCATGTGGGTGAGTAGGGGAAGGGGCAAAGGGGGAGGGGTAGAGAGACTTGCCAAGCAGACTCCCTCAGGGAGCCTGATGAGGGGCTTGATCCCAGGACCCTGTGATTATGACCTGAACTGAAATCAAGAGTCAGCCGCTTAACCTGCTGAGCCACCCAGGTGCCCCTGAGTACAGAATTTTTAGTCATAGTGGAATTCATAAAATTATCCTAGTTTCTTTAGTTTTATTTTATCATTATATCTTTTATTACTATATATGTATATGTATAAATATATATATTTCCTGGTATGTGTATATATTCCAGGGGTAGTAGTTCTCTTTTTCTCTGAGATAATTTATGAATTATATGTTTTTTTAAAGATTTTATTTATTTATTTGACAGAGATCACAAGTAAGCAGAGAGGCAAACAGAGAGAGAGGGGGAAGCAGACTCCCCGCTGAGCAGAGAGCCTGATGCAGGGCTCCGTCCCAGGACCCTGAGACCATGACCTGAGCCAAAGGCAGAGGCCTAACCCACTGAGCCACCCCGGCGCCCCCATGAATTATATGTTTCTATCACTTCTGTCAGTTGTGTTTTTTCTCTGTTTTCTCTTTTTCCTCTTTTTAAATCTCACTCTTTAAGTTCAGTTTAGGCAGCCTGGTGTGGTGGGAAGAATATCAAGTTACACAAATCTGGACTCATTCTTGGCTCTTCCAAAATTACAAGATAATGTGACCTTGGGCTAGTTGTTTATCCTGTACCTCATTGTTTTCCCACTGTGAAATGCTTGTCCCAAAGTGTTGTTGTGATAATTAAGGGAAATAAAATTTATAAAGTGCCTGTGTTCTATAATAATGGCCATAATTTATTGACATTTAAGTATAAACAGTGTTGTTTCCTTCCTTTTTTTGTTGAATTCTGATGCTGTCCTGTCAGGAAAACTTTTAAAGACCCCCTAGGTGCAACAAATGACTCCTTCACGCTGCTATAATGTGGTGATATTACAGGTGCTTTAGAGCCCAAACATTTATTTCATGCTTCCCTGCTCTTTTTAGCCTCTAAGCGTCCTGAGAGCTGAAAGCACTGATCATGCTTTGTCCCTGTCTCTCTCACAGTTCTTCCTGGCACGCAGTAGGTCTTTAGTGGCTGTGCGTGGAATAAAAAAATGACTTTTTTCAGAGTCTAAGGAACAAGAGTTTCTGATTAAAATAGGCAGCAGTGAATATGTGACCGTTTTATTTGTTCTTTTAGTGGCAGTTGAGGTCATTTTAAAGGGTAATTATAGTAATTGCTTTGATGGACACTGTAATATTACATAGTGAATAGAAAGTAATGTTTGTTAAATTTATGTTGTTTATAATCTCTAAAACTTATTTTTTAAAACCAAATATGCATTTTAGTTGGGAATAATTGTAATAATCATTTATCTATATTCTTTCACATATATTTGCAGTTGTCATCAGAGTTCTTAGACCACACTCTTCTCTCTTGTTTGATCAAAATGTTTTGAAATATATGTTCACATTAAAGAGATAGGACATTATTTTAGGGGAGAATGATAATTTTCTTGGGGCGCTTGAGTGGCTCAGTTGTTAAGCGTCTGCCTTCAGCTCAGGTCATGATCTCAGGATCCTGGGATCGAGCCCTGCATTGGGCTCCCACCTCGGCGGAGAGCCTGCTTCCCCCCGTCTTGCTCCCCCTGCTTCCCTGCTTGTTCCCCCCACCGTCTCTCTCTTTGTCAAATAAATAAATAAAATCTTAAAAAAAAAAAAGAATGATAGTTTTCTTGCAATAGGCCGTTATCGGCTCAACTCCAGTTTCACATTACTGTTCATTCTTATTGTTTCAGTTATTTGTTTTGGTGATTTTACTTGTATTATATACTAATTTTTTAGTCGTATAATCTGTAAATGTGCCCATTATAAAGCAGGGAAGAGAAGAATGAAGTTTTCTAAAAACTAAGGCCATATATTTGCTTTATTAAATACTTCTAATGCCTAAACACATCATACTGGTGATTGGCATAAAATATCTTTAAAGTCTGGGGTCCCTGGCTGTCTCCATCAGTAGAGCATGTGACTCTTGATTGCTGAGTTGTGAGTTCGAGGCCCATGTTCGGTGTAGAAATTTCTTAAAAATAAAATCTTACAAAAAATAAGATCTTTATCCATTGGTGGATGGATGGATACAGAAAATATAGTGTGCATGTATACACACACACAGGCATACAATGGACTATTATTCAGCCATAACAAAGAATGAAATCTTGCCATCTGTGACAACATGGATGGGCTTTGAGGGCATTAGGCTAAGTGAAATAAGTCAGACAGAGAAAGACAAATGCAGTTTGATCTCATATGTGGAATCTAAAAACAAAAACCAAAAAACCAAGCTCATAGATATACAGAACAAATTGGTGGTTGTCAGAGTTTGGGGGTAGAGGATGGGTAAAATGGGTAAAATGGGTCAAAAGGTATAAACTTCCAGTTATAAAATAAATAAGTCATGGGATTGTAATATACAGAATGGTAATTAGAGTTAATAGTATCATGTATTTGAAAGTTGCTAAGAGAGTAGATCTTAAAAGTTCTCATCACAAGAAAAAATTTATAATTATGTATGGTGACAGATGTTTGCTAGATTTGTGTTGATCATTTTGCAATATATACAAAATATGAAATCGTGATGGGCACCAGAAACTAATGTGTGAGTTATATCTCAATGAAAAAGAAAATAAAATAAATACCCTTAAAATCTCTAGGAATATTATTGTTATGGGTTCTTGGATAAATTATTTAATTTTCCTGAGCCTCAGTTTTCTTCGATAGGTTTAGAAATAGCAGATTACTTTTGAGATTAATTAGTAGGCAGAGGGTATGGAGAGAGGAGTTGCTTGTAAGGCTCACTGATTCTAGTGAGATGAAGTTGCACTGATGCGATGATTGGGATGTGACAGTGCCACTGGATCTTCAGTGTTGCAGTGGTTGTTGGAATCATCAGAACATGGTGATAGAGATGTGTGAAAAAGAGATGTGTGAAAGAGGATATGGTAGTAGAGATGTCTGTTTCAGGACATGTGTGAAATTGGACAGAGCTGCTTTATTCAGATATCTCCATGGCCCAGACAGTGATGATAGAGCAGGGAGATCTCCTAGAGAAATGAGGATGGAAGAGGATAAAGAAGAGCCATATAACTTTCTTTAGCCAAAAGGTACTGGAGACTTAGGGCCAAGCAGAAGACATTGTTTGACTGATCTACCCAGTCCTTTTAAGAGTAAGGGTTCTTAAGATGGAATCCTTAGAAACAGAGACACCAAGGAATCCATATACTTAGATGTGGAAAAATTATAGTTTATGTTTACTAACCTCTAAGTCATTAAGCATTTCTTTCAGTTATGAAAGCCTTAACCTAGTTGGCCCTCCTTTAATAAGCCATCCTAGTATTAGCAGTACTCTCTTTTTTTTTAATTTTAAATTTTTTATTTTTTTAAATTAACATATAATGTGTTATTAGCCCCAGGGGTACAGGTCTGTGAATTGCCAGGTTGACACACTTCATAGCACTCACCATAGCACATACCTTCCCCAGTGTCCATAACCCAACCCCCCTCTCCGCCTCCCCCTGGCAATCCTGTTTGTTTTGTGAGATTAAGAGTCTCTTATGGTTTGTCTCCCTCCCGATCCCATCTTGTTTCCTTTATTCCTTTCCTACCCCTAAGCCCCCCACGTTGCCTCTCAACTTCCTCATATCAGGGAGATCATAAGATAACTGTCTTTCTCTGATGGACTTTTTTCTGCTCAGCATAATACCCTCTAGTTCCATCCATATCGTTGCAAATGGCAAGATTTCATTTCTTTTGATGGCTGCATAGTATTCCATTGTATATATACACCACATCTTCTTTATCCATTCATCTGCTGATGGACATCTAGGTTCTTTACATAGTTTGGCTATTGTGGACATTGCTACTACAAACATTCAGGTGCATGTACCCCTTCGGATTACTACATTTGTATCTTCAGGGTAAATACCCAGTAGTGTGATTGCTGGGTCATAGGGTAGCTCTATTTTCAACTTTCTGAGGAACCTCCGTGCTGTTTTCCGGAGTGGTTGCACCAGCTTACATTCCCACCAACAGTGTAGGAGAGTCCCCCTTTCTCCACATCCTCGCCAGCATCTGTCATTTCCTGACTTGTTAATTTGAGCCATTCTGTCTGGTGTGAGGTGGTATCACACAGTGGTTTTGATTTGTATTTTCCTGATGCCGAGTGATGTGGAGCACTTTTTCATGTGTCTGTTGGACATCTGGATGTCTTCTTTGCAAAAATGTCTGTTCATGTCCTCTGCCCATTTCTTGATTGGATTATTTGTTCTTTGGCTGCTGAGTTTGATAAGTTCTTTATAGATTTTGGATACTAGCCCTTTATCTGATATGTCATTTACAAATATCTTCTCCCATTCTGTCAGTTGTCCTTTGGTTTTGTTAACTGTTTCCTTTGCTGTGTGCAAAAGCTTTTGATCTTGATGACGTCCCTGTAGTTCGTTTTTGCCCTTGCTTCCCTTGCCTTTGGTGATGTTTCTAGGAAGAAGTTGCTGTGGCTGAGGTCTAAGAGGTTGCTGCCTGTGTTTTCTCCTCAAGGATTTTGATGGATTCCTTTCTCACATTGAGGTCTTTCATCCATTTTGAGTCTATTTTTGTGGGTGGTGTAAGGAAATGGTCCAGTTTCATTTTTTTGCATGTGGCTGTCCAATTTTCCCAACACCATTTGTTGAAGAGTCTGTCTTTTTTCCATTGGACATTCTTTCCTGCTTTGTCGAAGATTAGTCAACCATAGAGTTGAGGGTCTATTTCTGGGCTTTGTATTCTGTTCCATTGATCTATGTGTTTGTTTTTGTGCATACTGTCTTAATGATGAGAGCTTTGTAATAGAATTGGCAGTACGTTTGACCTTGTATTCACTAGAAATCACAGATACACAATTCTGTTATTGCAAGTTTCAAAATATTGTTTATACCTGTCACGACCTTGAAATTATACTGGTTGTGAGACTGTATGTAGAGCTTGTTATTTAGTGGATTATTAAAGAAGTACATTATAGCATCACAGATTTTACTTTTGTCTGATCTATTTGTTTTTATACTTTGATATTTTAATTGTTTAATGCATTTAATCACATTATTCTGAGAAGGCTTTGTGAGATTGCAAGGAGGATCATGGCATAAAATTGGAAAAACCTTCCTATGAGAGGCTAAGGTATGCTGTAGGGGACTTGAAGAGTGCCACAGAGAGGAGCTTTGAAGATAGCTGGTTGAACATAAAGATGTTAAAGAATGAAGTCCTGTTTTCAAGGAGGGAAATCCCATTTTGCTGCTGCTGTAATGAATACATACGTAAGAAAGCAACCTCAAGAACAGAGGATAGGTTCCTAACAGCTGTGTGGGTAGCTCGAGAAATCAAATATGGTCCAATCAGGCAAGAAGAGGGACCTTAATAGAGGGAATTGGTTGTACAAGTGTTGGAAGATGAATGAGAATGGTGAGGTCACCCAGAGATTAGAGAATCCAAATAGAGAATGGTGAAGTCACCCGGAGATTAGTAACAGCAAGAAGCCACCACTGCCTATAGGCCAGTGGGCCAATGGGAAGAGAAGATGTGACCAGAGTCCTGAAGTTGGGGCTGTTTGGGGGAGGTAGAGCCACGGTAAGGGCTGTTCAGTGTTGGGATGCTGGAGGGGAGGGAGGGGGGTTGGACCTTGAAAGAGATGCAGTTCCTGCCAGAGACACTACTAGAAGTCGAGCCATTGGGCAGTGGAGCATGGGAATTGTATAATAGAGTAGAGCAGATTAAGTGTGTTGGGGAAGTGGATCAGAGATCAAACAGGAAAATGATTGGCTGTTCACACTTTTTATCACCCCTGTGCTCCTATATAACTCCCACACAGTAATATCTTTTTTTCTGAGTAATGTAGCAGGTTGCAATTCAAATATCCTCTAAACAACGGTGCTCCCACCCTTGCCAAAATGGGGGCACCAAGGCTTATTTGTTGTTGCATCCATCTCACAGATGATACATATCCTCACTATCAGGTCTTTATAATTTGGTACCTCATGAATTTAATTGAAAAGTTGCTATTTCCAGTATTTTTCATGTGAGGCCAGAGGGGAGGAGCCAAAAAAGTCAGTAATATATGCATATAACAGAGATGCAAAAAGCAGCTGCAGTTCTTATTCTTAGCGATGGTCCTAAGGTTACAATGATAGAAAGGTTAAGACTTCATATTTCGGAGGCTCAAGTTAATTGCCAACACTTGGACTTCCTCACTCTGGAATTCCATTATTTTGATTGAAATTGGGGAGTCATCCATCCTAGCAAACTGTTAGAACTGGATTATTAAATCCAAACCAATCCCATGTATGTTCTGCAGGTTCCTGCTAAGACAAGATTAGCAAGATCTTGCATTTCTTTTGCTACATAAGCTATTTTCTCCTGGGCCAGGATATGCTTGTCTCCTCCTACAGCATACTGAGATCTGAATTTATCTATGGTGACAAAGAGTGGTGGACGTGTGCTTGCAAATTCTTTTGCAACGCAGCTGTTTCAGGCGTGCTCATTAGTAAGTCTTTAAGCAAGGGAAGGCTAATTATCTCAGACAAGGAGGCGAAACTGCTTTTGTTGGTAAGGGATGTTTAGAGGGGATTTGGAAATTTATAATTTTCAGGTTTGTCTAATTCCAAAAGCCCTCATCCCATCTTCTACCTTCCTACTTAGTGCCCAACGGATAAACATACTATTTTTTTTTAAAGATTTTATTTATTTATTTGACAGATCACAAGTAGGCAGAGAGGCAGGCAGAGAGAGAGGGGGAAGCAGGCTCCCCGCCAAGCAGAGAACCCAACTTGGGGCTCCATCCCAGGACCCTGAGTTCATGACCTGAGCCGAAGGGAGAGGCTTAACCCACTGAGCCACCCAGGTGCCCCCGATATGTGCTATCTTAACATTAGAAACTTAGTGAGACTCTTCATTCAACTTGTAATGTAATTCTGCAGTCCCCATAATTAGATTTTCTGTGTGGTCTTTAAAGCCTTGTTAGCCACAGAGCTATAAGAAATAAGAGATTCTTTTAAAGTCAACGTGGAAACTCTGGCTTTCTGACTGTTTTGAACTGAGATTCTAAAGCTCTAAGATTATCATTTTGCTTTTAAGATTTTATTATTTATTTGAGAGAGAGGGCAGGGTTAGGAACAGAGGGAGAAGCAGACTCACCGCTAAGCAGGGAGCTTGATGTGGGGCTCAATCCTGGGATGTCCTGGCATCATGACTTGAACCAAAGGCAGGTACTTACCTGACTGAGCCACCAAGGTGCCCCATTGTTTTGTTTTTGTAAGTTCTCTAACATAGTCGCATTTGGCCTTCCTACCCTACAGGTCTTGAAATAAACAATGCTGCCCTAATGGTTAAGCGCAGTTGCTACTTTATCTCCCCAAGGCTTGTCCTCAACTGGCATTTTATTCTAAACTGTACATGATAATATAAATAGTTGTGATCCCACTGTATGCCATGGGTCATTGCAAAATTATCGCATTTCTACCTGCAAAGAGGCCTTTATCGATTAACAGGAGGGACTATCCAGGAGAATGTGAAGCAACAGGGAAGACAGGGACGTTGCTGAAGGTAGCTTTGGAGCAGGAGAACTACCCTGGGTTCACTGCTTCTGCCCTTCTAAGTATATCACAAGTGCCTCCTATTGGCCAGACCTGAGAGGCCAGTTGTCAAGGGAACCTGGGAAATGTAGTTCCTACAATACAGAGCATCGCTGTAGGAGAATAGGGAGGGGGTCTAGGGGCAAACAAGTGAATGCCTGGCACAACTGGGAATGTTCAAATGTTAAACAATGTTAGTCTTATGATGCGGGGAGATAGTGGGCAGGGAGGGATAGAGTGATTCTGAAACAAAGTGAGTTATCTTGAGTATATAATTAAGATTCTATGATTTTTTTCTTTACTATTAAAAGATATTTGTAAATTCTTATTTTGTAAGCATAAGTATTTAGAAGACTTTGCTAATATTTTTAAAAAATAAAAATTACTGCTTTTTATTCTTTATACGTACAAAATGTGTAACTCTGCTAAACTCCATGTGTTAACAGCTACTTACGGTAATTTCTGATGTTGCTCTTTTGAAATTCTTTTTTCTTATCTGATAATGGGACCATCTTTTTCTAGTCTGGTATAGTAGCTCAGTGCTTTCCTGCATGATGCCTTGCTAGCATTTTCTCTCACCCACCATCTCTTTCTTGACCACCAGCAATAAATGAGTTTGCTTTTCTTTGAATTATTGTAACATTTTCACCTCTTTTATAAAACATCCTATGTGCCTTTTTACAGCATTTCATTACTTGAGGTCAGGGGCTCTGTAATGTTTGTTTTTATATTTTTCACTGTACTTGACACATAGGAGTGTTTAATATTATTTAATGAATTGTTGATTAGATTATAGAATTCTGGAGTGGGAATGGACTTTATAAAATCATTTAGTTCTGACTTTGACTTATCTTCTGTCCCACTACTCATGGAAGGTTGTTAGATAAATTAGACCTAGTTATTAAATATCTAGTTGTCTCAATATTAGATAAATTAGATATTAGTTCATTAAAATCCCTGCAAAATTGGCACTTTTATTAGTTCATGCTCTGTCAGTAATGTCATAATCAAGAGAAATAATGTAGACAGTACTTACCAACTATGCTTTCATGCAATTTGCTTCTTGATTTCATTTAAGGAATAGGAAGCAGAGAGGGAAGAATGAATTTTAAAGTACTTACTGTGTGTCATTTTTCACTTCTTAGGCCTGATTATTTCTGATTAAAACTTGAAATTTTTAAATAAAATTTTTAAAAAAGATTTTATGTATTTATTTGACAGAGAGGCAATGAGAGCAGGAACACAAGCAGGGGGAGTGGGAGAGGGAGAAGCAGGCTTCTTGCTGAGCAGTGAGCCCAATGTGGGGCTCGATCCCAGGACCTTGGGATCATGACCTGAGCCAAAGGCAGACGCTTAATGACTGAGCCACCTAGGCACCCCTAAAACTTGTGATTTTTAAGGGACGCCTGGCAGGCTCAGTCGGTAGAGCACGCGACTCTTAATCTTGGGATCATGAGTTCAAGCCCCACACTGAGCCTACTTAAAAAGAAAAAAACAACTTGTAATTTCTCCTTATTTTTATAGGCTCATGAAAGCATTTTTTGTTTTTTTTCTCTAGTGGATTAGAAAACTGAGTGTCATTTGGTAAGGCTATAGTCCCTCTTTTCCAGTCTTCTAGAAAATTATAAATTCATGAATTCTTGTCTTATCAATATTATAGAAACATATTTCTCTAAGACATTTAAATGTTTGGGTGCACGATCTCATTATCTCGGTGCCATATTTTAATATTGGTTCATGATCTCGAAATCTATTTTTAGCTGGCAAGCTATGAAAGCCAGATTGCCAAGCTGCGATCCGAGGTGGAAAAAGGAGAGGCACTGCGTCAAAGTCTGGAATATGACCTGGCTGTTGCTAGAAAGGAAGCTGGTCTCGGGAGACGGGCTGCTGAAGAAAGGTTAGCCGAAGCACATAGGATCCAAGAAAAACTCTGTGGTAAGACTACTCTATTTTTTCCCATGTTTAGCGTTTTAACTTTATTGCGTAGCAGTAACACAGTGCTTACTGTTGTATGTGTTCACCACATAGGGGCAGAGGTAGGCCTTTGATGGACAGACTTCACCAGGTGTGTATAAAGTCTTCTAGCACTCATGTGAACATTCACCTTCTTCACATTCATTTTTTGTATGTTGTGCATGTATGGGAAAAAGGAGTTCAAAATTCTCTTAATCATTTTGTAGAGTAGTTGTTCCCTGAATAATCAATCAGCAGAATCATATAGAGATTTAAAATAAAACCAAACCATTCACAGGCCCCCTGTCACATGTTTTCTGAATTAGAATTTCTAGCTTGAGACAGTCTATATGTTCAAGAAGGACTGCAAGTATTTTGTTGATTGGCTAGGTTTGGGAACCACGGGGTTATAGAGTGGTGCCTAGAAAAGTGGAATCCTCAAAAGCTCTCTGTTATGTAGCATATGAGCACTTAAAAATCTTTTTATTTGAATATAATGTATGTGGTGCCTGGGTGGCTCAGTCGATTAAGCGTCTGCCTTCTACTCAGGTCATGATCCCTGGGTCCTGAGATCAAGTCCTAGGTCAGGCTCCCTGCTCGGTGGGGAGCCTGTTTCTCCCCCTGGCTGCCATTCCCCTTCTTGTGCTCTCTTTCTCTCTGTCAAATAAATGAATAAAATCTTAAAAAAATATAATATATGTAAAGAAATATGCCTAATATAAGTGTATAACTCATAAGAAGCACCCAGATCATGGAATGGAACATTTCCGGAAGTCCTTCCACACAGATAACTACTATTTTGATTTTTAATAGTGTGGATAAATTGTGCCTCTTTTTTGTACTTCATATTAAACAGAATCATATAATACGTACTCTTTTATGTCTGGCTTCTTTCCTTTGACATTGCATGTGTGAATTCATTTATATCGTTGTATGAACTTTGTACTGATACTTAGTATTACACTGAATGACATATCACATAAATTTATCAATTTCTGTTAATGGGCACTTGGGTAATATCCAGTTCTTGGTTATTAAGAATAATGTTGCTATAAACGTTCCTTTTTTTAAAGTTTTTACTTTTAAGTAATCTCTTTATCCAGTGTAGAGCTCAAATTCACAACCCTGAGATCAAGAATTGCATGCTTCACTGACAAGCCAGCCAGGCGCCCCGATGCTGCTGTGAACATTCCTGTATGCAACAGCTTTTAATTAAGAGAACATCGAACATGAATTCAGAAGATTTAGATTTAGATCATGGTTTTACCACTTACCCTTGGTTGTTTTAAGGATGAAGTGAAAAAAATGAAAGTTCTTTGTGGTTACATGGGACTAAATGAATGTTAACTTGCAATTATTGTAAGGTTCTGGGCCTGAGTTGTGGCCAGCTGTTTTGGGTTATTTCCACTGGTCAAGAGTATTTTTGATTACCTCTGGCATTTAATAACCACAACACTACCCGGAACTTATAAGAATTGAAAGGCACTAAATATACAAGTTAATGACTTTGATTTAATTATGAGGAGGTTGAAGTCCAGGGAAGATGAGAAGTTATTTCCCAAAGTCAAATGATTTCAACAGACACTTTATAGAGGAAGAGAGAATAGCCATTAATGAGATGAATAATACTTAATCTCACTTGTCTTTAGAGAAACGTAAATTAAAGCCACAGTGACTGTTTATTACATACACATTAGGTGGTGCTAATTGGGAAGACTGTCAATACCAAATGTTGGTAAGGATATAGAGCAACTGGAATTCTTCTACTTTGTAAGTGGGAGAGTAAATGGTCTAACTACTTTGGGAAAAAACCTGGTAATTTCTTTTAAATAAACAGTTGGGAGACAACTTGTTAGATAGTCAAAATGTTTATGAACTGGAAGCACCAGATACCTCTGGAATTAGGAATTGGAATAGCAGTAGTAAGTAAAAAAAAGGAGGTTAAATGAAAGCTCTTTGCTTTAGAGGCAGTTAGGTTCTTAGATCTCCTTCCCAAGAGCTGTGTACTCTGGGATTGCTCTCACTTTCTAGAGGGAGCTGGGTGGCTTAATCTCTGGAGATGATAAAATACAGGGTCCCCAGACTAGCAAAAACAGGAAGATAGCATAGTCAATGCTGAATATTGAGAAACTATTCCTTCCAGTCTCCTTTTTCTATTGGTTTCTCCAAAAGCTAGCACCCAGATTTCTATACTCCCAGGGCGCCTGGGTGGCTCAGTGAGTTAAGCCTCTGCCTTTGGCTCAGGTCATGATCTCAGGATCCTGGGATCGAGCCCCACATCGGGCTCTCTGCTCAGCGGGGAGCCTGCTTCCCTCTCTCTCTGCCTGCCTCTCTGCATGCTTGTGATTTCTCTCTCTCAGTCAAATAAATTAATTATATATATATATATATACACATATATATATATATGTATATATATATATATATATATATATATATATATATACACACACACTCCATGTGGGAGCTTAAAAGAGTCTTCTATAGATCATTGGACCAAACCAAGAGGAAAAACCTAATGATACCAATGTTGGGAGTTTCCTCATAAATGGCCCAACCATATCCTTCTCCAGTGCAGGACGACAGTTATCAAGCCCTATATCCTCACTTTAAGAATCTAGTGTTGGCTATATGAGTGTGTCACCTTTACAGTTACTTTAATTGAGAGAACAGAACTAAGAATTACCAGATGCTTGGGGAAAGCCTCTAAAATGGAGAGAAAAAAATAATAATTTGGAAGAATCAGAAACTGCAGGGGAAAAGAAGATTTAACAAACAAGGAGCATTAATATCTACAGAGCTGAAGGAGAATATATTTTATCCATGAAGCAATAATCAGATGCTATAAAAAAAAGGGGGAAGCTCTTAGAAATTAAAAATATGAAATCAGGAATGAAAAATATCAACAGAAGCATTGGGAGATGAAAATGGAAGAAATCTCCCAGCAATTAGAGTAAAAAAAGCAGAGGTAGAGAAACAGGAGGGAAAAGGCAAGAAAATTTGAGGATCAATTTGAATAATAGGTAATATTGAAATAAGAGATAAGAGACAAAACAGGGAGGGATAAATCCTCTATGAAATTACGTAAGACGTCATCTCAGAACTAAAGGTTACGAGTTGCCAGTTTGAAAGGGCCCATTGAATATTCACCACCATGACAAGAAATAGACCCATCTGAGGGCAAAGCATTATGCAATTTCAGAAAAATAGAGACAAAGTGAAGATCTCCTAAAGCTTTTCAAAGAGAAAAGACACAAAAGAAAAAGAGGCCACATGCAAACGAACAGGAATTAAATGGCTTTAAGTTTCTTGCCTACAGTCTGGGATGCTAGACCATGGAATAATGTCATGTTGAGAGAGTAACTGAATTAGGGGAAACTTTTTTTTTTTTTTAAGATTTTATTTATTTATTTGAGAGAGAGAGAGAAATGAGAGGTCAGCAGGAGAAGCAGACTCCCTGCTGAGCAGGGAGCCTGATGTGGGACTTGATCCCAGGATCATGACCTGAGCCGAAGGCCATTGCTTAACCAGCTAAGCCACCCAGGTGCCCCTAGGGGAGAATTTTTGTGCCTCTTATACCTTTGACTATTGAACCTTTTGTGTTTGAAACACAAACATTGTTTGTTGGTTTATTTTAGTTTCAGAGGAAGAGTTAGTGATTCATCAGTTGCACGTAACACTCAGTGCTCATCACAAGTGCTCTCCTTGGTGCCTTTCATCCAGTTACCCCATCCCCCAGCTACCTCTCCTCCACTAAACCTCAGTTTGTTTCCTAGAGTTAAGAGTCTCTTATGGTTTGTCTCCCTCTCTGATTTTGTCCTTTTTTATTTTTCCCTCCCTTCCCCTATGTTCCTCTGTTTTGTTTCTTAAATTTCACCTGTGAGTGAGATGATATAATATTTGTCTTTCTCTGACTGACTTATTTCACTTAGCATAATACCCTCTAGGTTGCAAAAGGCAATATTTCATTCTTTTTGATGGCTGAGCAATATTCCATTGTATTTATGTATATATTATATACATATTATTATATATACATATATACATGCTTATATGTGTATATATATATATTCCATATCATCTTTATCCATCATCTGTTGATGGACATCTGAGCTCTTTGCATAGTTTGGCTATTGTGGACATTGCTGCTATAGACATTGAGGTGCACATGCCCCTTTGAATCACTATATTTGTGTCCTTTGGATAAATACCCAGTAGTGCAATTGTTGGGTCATAGGGTAGCTCTATTTTCAACTTTTTGAGGAACCTCCATGCTGTTTTCCAGAGTTGCTGCACCAACTTGCATTCCCACAGTGTAACAGGGTTCCCCTTTCTCCTCATCCTCACCAACATCTGTTGTTTCCTGACTTGTTAATTTTAGCCATTTTGACTGGTGTGAGGTGGTATCACATTGTGGTTTTAATTAACTTTAATATACTTTAATATAACTTAAAAATAATACTACTAACTGTGGCTTTTTTTTTTCTATTTTGGTTTGTTTAACAAGTGTGTTTGTGTGTATTTCCTCATTTTATCTTCACAACAGCTTAACGAGGAGACATTTTATTCCCACTAAAGGTTAGAGAGTCAGAGAGGTTTAATCAGGTGGTAGGTGAGGGAGCCAGACCCATAAAGGGTTCCATTGCTTCTTTTCTAGATGTTGAGGTGAAGCAGCAGCTGTAGTGAGTTGAGAGGTGTTAGTTAATGTCGGGGTAATACTAGGATGAGAGGTGCATTGAACCTAACCTCGGTGGAGTCAATAGCTCGATTCTGAGGGCTGGACCAGTGGCTCCCAATGTCAGTTTTGTGACAGCCTCATGTGTAACTGTGTCACAACTAATTTCTTGCCAATAGTCAAATATCAAAATTTGTAATCTATTAAGTATTTTACAAAAGTAGTCCTATAGACCACAGTTTAAAAAAACACACAGTGTTTGATTTATTTTCTTGAATAGAAGAAATGTAGTAGAATTGCAGTTGGTGATAGAGGTGCACCCAAACTTGGGGATGCCTCTGGGAACATAGCCTACCATTTCATGCAAAATCACCTAGGTCTGGAGGGGAAGAAGAGATTGAGAAATTAGAGAATAGATTGTTCTGGAACAGGGAGTTTTTCTGAGTTGACTGGTGTGAAGTGGTTAAATGTTTTGTTCAGAGATCACGCTGTAAATGGAATCAACTCCAGCGCCTAGGTGTTTGAATTCCTAGGGATTTAATTTGTGGTTATAGGCATACCTATTATTCTTTAATATTTTTAATAGCTCAGAACACAGAACTTCAAGGAAAGGCAAATGAGATGGAGAAAGCATTCCAGACTTCCCAGCTGAAGTGGAAAGAAGAATGCAGAAGATTTGAACATGATTTGGAGGAAAGAGACAATATAATTCAAAGTTGCAATCAAGAATATGATTTACTTATGAAAGAAAAAAGCAGACTAGAAAAAACTGTACAGGTAAATTATTATTATTATTATTATTATTTTAAATATTTATTTATTTATTTGACAGAGATCACAAGTAGGCAGAGAGGCAGGCAGAGAGAGGAGGAAGCAGGCTCCCTGCTAAGCAGAGAGCCCGATGTGGGGCTCGATCCCAGGACCCTGAGATCATGACCTGAGCTGAAGGCAGAAGCTTAACCCACTGAGCCACCCAGGTTCCCCTAAATTATTATTTTTTAAAAGATTGATTTATATCAGAGAGAGAGTGAGAGAGAGCACGTGGGCGTGCACATGAACTGGGGGAGGGGCAGAGGGTGAGAGAGAATCTCAAGTGGACTCCCTGCTGAGTGTGGAGCTGGACGTAAGGCTCAATCCCAGGACCCTGAGATCATGACCTGAGCCGAAACCAAGAGTTGGATACTCAACCGACTGAGCCATCCACCAGGTAAATTATTTTTATGAAATAATTTTTTTAGCTTCATTGAGATGTATTACACATTATTTGAACTTATTCTTGGAAAGGAAAATATCTACCAGAAATCAAAGAAAATCTGATTTCCTCCTACCCACCCTCCCTCACTCCCTCTCTTCTTTCCTTTCAGGGGCATTTTTGTGGGTCTCTTTTGTAATATGATTTAGCAATATATTAATATGTATACTGTTTTCTTTTGTGAAAAAGGTTGAGATCTCTGGTCAAGCTAGAAGAACTCACTTATGTGAAAGTATCAGAAAATGGGAACCTCTTGCCCTTTAAGTTTAGCCATATGAAAGTTTGGAATTTTAGAAATGTGGGCATTAGATTTTGGTCTGAATATACAATAAATATAAAAAAATTATATATCTGATATGGACTTATATATGTAGAGTACATTCTATATAGATAAGACATGAAAAATATTTGATGACCCTTTACTGAAATTATATGAGCTATTTATTTTCCTATTTTTTGTTCTTTTTTTCTTTATCTCTCTAAAGTAAAAGTGTGGCTTAACTTGAAGTTGCCAACCCCTTAAAAGATAGATTTTGAATTGCTTATATTTGCCATTTTTTCTGAAGCACCAGTTTAAATTGAAAAAAAAAAAAAAACCACAAAAAACATGATAGAAACGCTTTTATTTACCGCTGGTGTATATGGGTTTTCAGAACTCTAGAGAAACGAATCTTTATTAGAGGTAAGTTTACACAAGCATTTCCTAAATGTGAAAGTTTCAGTACAAGGTTCCATGGCATGGTCAGCAGATCTGATTTCCTCCATTTCAGACGAAGTTTGTCTCTTCCTTTAGTGTTATATGTTCCCAGGTCCTTGAACAGTGCCTGGTGTGTGCAAGGATTCCCCCATCTGAATGGGAGTAGTTTAGGTGGCTCCAGGTGCTCCGAGTTCCTGGGCTGCTGTATATCACCTTGCCCGTGTAGAATGTCTAGAGCTACGGGGAAAGAAGCATAATGGCAGCGGCATTCCTTACAGTCAGTCAATCAGCCTGCACCTCAAGTTATAAAATCTTTCCGTGATCTGGCTGAGCTGCTTGATAAGAGAACTTTGCTTGATTTTATGCTACTGGCTTTGAGCTGATCTGCACAGACTAAGTAGGGGAATATAGGGTTCAATAGGCATCATACTATTTATCCCGAAGGGGGAAAAGCTCAATGCCCTTTGTGAAGACTTTCCATTAGTGAAAGTTGTAAGGGTAATATTCATGATGCAGATCCCAGCTACTGTTTATATGGACACTGAAGGCTTTCCCGCCTTCTCATATCAACCACACAGTCTTTTTCCTTGTGTTAATGGGAACTTAGTTTTAAAGGGGGCTTCTTGCTTTAACCAAGTTAGATCTTATAAATGTAGTACAACTAGGAAAACCCAAGAAGAAAAGTCTTTTGTGAGTATTATCTGTAGAACAAGAAATTAGTCATAGCCCAAACCTTAAAAATTTTTTGACTTTTAAGATGTTTAACATTTTAGTGTTTCCTTATCCTGATTTGTTGCACGAAATATCTTTCTTATCACTTTTGGTCAATACAGTGTACTCTGTGAGTTTTATATGTAAATTACCAGGGTTGATCCAAACAGTTTGTTCATAGGTAATTAGAACTTCCCATATTATCTACTTTACATAGAAGATATACATATAGATTACATATAATCTACATTCTGATGATCAAAATATATTATAGTTTTATTAATGATTTTAACATAAATTATAATGAGTTTTAGCTATAGGTAAGGAGAACCCTTGGTACACTTGAATTGGGGTTAAAGGAAGAAAGATGACTTTCATTGATCAAATAGTAAAGCAAGATTTTATTCATATAAAGGAAGCGTTGGAAAAACATCAGCAGGAGAAGAATGAGATGGAGTCTCATATCAGGGAGACAGCACTGGAGGAGTTTAGATTACAAGCAGAACAATGGGAAGCAGAAAGAAGAGAGTTACAATTTATAGTACAGGTATTTAAAGAATAATAATTCAGTTCCTTAAATATGTCTTTTTAATGCTTAGGACATTGAATATTACATTAGTGCAATAACTGGCTAGTTTACTCAACACAAAAATGATTCCTAATCTTTGATCTGTCGAAGGCCATGTTTCATTTGGGGTTACATGACGATATGGGCAACTCCTATGAGCATATACTCTCTGAATTAGAGTTGGGTGACTTCTGTTGCATAAATTATGTGATTTTTGAGACATATATACATTTGGTATTTTATTTTTCCAGTTTAAAATGTGAGACTGTTCACAGCCTTTAATAGCATAAAGAAATAGAATGATTGGCTTTTAGATATTAAAGGATGCATATAAATTAATATAACATAGTGATTTTTCAACTCTTTTTCTAAGAAGAGCAAATTTTAAAAAACTTTTTATTTAAATTGAATTAACGTATGATGTATTATTAGTTTCAGAGGTAGAGATCAGTGATTCATCAGTCTTATATAACACCCAGTGCTCATCACATCATGTGCCCTCCTTAATGTCAGTTACCCAGTTACCCCATCCCCCCAGCCACTCCCCTCCAGCAACCCTGTTTGTTTCCCATGATTAAGAGTCTCTTATGGTTTGTCTCCCTCTCTGCCTTCGTCTTGTTGTTTTTTTCTCCCTTAAGAAGAACAAATTCTTTTTTTATTTTTAAGATTATTTATTTATTTGACAGAAAGAGAGAGAGAGAAAGAGAGAGAGCACAAGTAGGGGGAGCAGCAGGCAGAGGGAGAGAGAGAGAGAGAAGCAGGTTTCCTGCTGAGCGAGGAGCTCTATCCCCGGACCCCAGAGATCATGACCTGAGCAAAACGCAGCTGCTTAACGACTGAGCCACCTAGGCGTCCCAAGAAGAGCAAATTCTTAATCGGGTTCTATTTACTCCTTTTCCTCATCACACAGAATCCCCAAGCCTTCAAATAGTCTGGTTGGAAAATAACTGATTATACCCAACCCCCATTGTAGATGAGCAGATGGAGATTTATGATTTACTCAGATCATAGTCTGAGTAATTAATGTGGGAAGAGACTACCAGTCACCAGATTCTCATTTTGGTGTATTGTGCATTTTTTTCAGGAGATTAGATGTAAATTATTTTGAAAGAGAGAGAAGAGAAATTTAAACTGTTAATTCACTGACCAATTTAACTTAAAATTTAAAATAAATTTCTATAATTTCTTCTATTACTCATTTGGTGATAAGATATTTTCTCTGTATAAAACAACAAATTGAAATACAGTCTTTGTAGACTATAGGCACACCAAGGTACACATTCTTCACAGAATGAAGAATATCCATCTAAAATGAATTTTGGAGTAGTTTTATGTTAGAAACCACTCTGCAAGACAAAGGCAGCCCAAAACATGCAGAGAATAAGAGCCATCTTATTTCTTTAAGAGTGAAAACAGTGGAAATATTGAATTCGTTATATTCGTCAGTATTCAAAATACCAACAAATCCACAGCTTTGCCAAACCTTTGGTCTTGGATGTTGTTTTCTTACCAGTCACTCCATTTGTAGAATCTGGAAAGGTATTATAGTCATTCTTTACACCTCTTGGTATTCTTAGAGTCTGTTTGTAATTTGTATCCCTTCCTTTCTTCCTTCCTCTTTCTCTCCCTTCTTCTGTCCTTCCTTCCTTCCTTGTACATACTGAGTTTCTGCTATGGGTGCTGAGGATACAAAATTGATTAAGATCCTTGAAGATCTTAAAACAGAGAGACATGTAAAGAGAGAAATTGGAATATAATAAAAGTTTGAACAAAATACTGTGGGGTCATGAAAGAGAAATTGATTAAGTGCCTAGGAGATTGGGGAAATCATCACAGAATGGCTGACATTTGAACTGTTGTTGATAATTGTCTTAAAGTCTACCTGAAACAAACAAGTAAACATAAGTAAATGAAAATAACCTCTTCATTTCTGAACACTCAGAAATCTCCAGTGCCACTAGTCAAAAACCTTAAATTTGTAAAATATGATTCAGAAGCCTTTATATTTAAATGTGGGAGTGATGCGATTTTAGATGCAATTTCTTGGTCAATCCTATAAACCTTAGATGAAACGTATGTGACTTTATACTATGAAGTACTAAAGGAATAAAGTGTTAGTCGTCTTTTTTTTTTTTTAAGATTTTATTTTTTTTTAAGTAATCTCTATACCCAACATGGGGCTCGAACTCACAACCCTGAGATTGAGTCTCATGCTCCCCCAACCAAGCCAGCCCGGCACCCTGGTATCAGGCTTTAATTATTATGTATGGGAAAGAATAGGGAATATACTCCATAGTTACTATGACCTTTTGTAAGATAATTTTTTTAAAGGTTTTATTTAAATTCCAATTAGTTAACATATAGTGTAATATTAGTGTAAGATACATTTTATTGTATTGTGTCACTGAAAGGTTCAGAGCTCAGTCTCTCAATTTCCTGTCCTTTTAACATTAACAAAATAAAACTGTTTTTCCTTTTTAAAGCAAGTTTAAGAAACTATTTGTATTTTTTTAGAAGTCTTTTTTTAAACAAGTCGAGGGATAGATTGAAATTCTCTTCTCTGTTGGCTATTGATGGATTTAGGTTCCCATCGTATAATTAGATGTTAGTATGGTATAGTGTTCTCTTTGTGTAACTCTCTAAGGGAATTCAGCTTTTAAAATACGTTAAAAAAAAAAAAAAAAACCCTCCTAAGTGAAATCCATCTTTAACAGACAAAGCAGGTGTAGTATTTCTTTCATCTGGGCTTTAGAATTCAGTCCCACTATTAAAAAAAAAATCTTAATTTTATGCCGTGTTTCTTTTCTTTCCTAGTAATTGAAAAGCTAAATAGAGGTGTACTTCTCTGGAATATTAATGGGAACTCTAGTGCAGTTACCTCATTTTAAAAAAGTATTTCTCATTTTTTTAAATACATGTCCTGTTCTGATAAACATAAAAACTCCATGTCTTCCTTTAGCACTATTTGAAATTTCAAAACAAATCAAAGCCAATTTAATTTAAAAACAAAGTATTTATATTGATTTTGAAACACATATTCTTATTTTTTATCTCTGCTTACTAAATTTTTAACTTAAAATGACTGTTTGTTATGTTTTTATTTATTTTTTCTTCATTCCTGCTCTAGCAATAGGAATTTTGAGGATGCTTACTTATTTTTGTTTTTAAGACTTTATTCATTTATTTGACACAGAGAGCATTAGCTTGGGTGGGGAGGGGAAGGGAGGAGCAGAGGAAGAAGGAGAAGCAGGCTCCCCACTGAGCAGGGAGCCCGAGATGGGGCTTGATTCCAGGACTCCAGGATCATGACCTGACCCGACCTGAGCTGAAGACAGATGCTTAACCAACTGAGCCACCCAGGCGCCCCTTCAATGTATAATTTATCAGTAGGATTGAGAGCATTTAGAAGATGTATATATTTTCGTATTTGTTTCCCAAATTCTAGAACTCAACCAGGGAATAAAATGATCCTTTCCTCCTTCATCGACTAAATTCAGCTTAAGTGTCTAGTGATAAAGAGATGGCAGAGTCTGTAATGGCAAAACTCATGAGGAATGTAGACCGAAAATAACAACATACACTGAAGAGGAGGGAGAGTGGGGACACAGTAAAGAAGGTATCAGGGTAGGCTTAGGCATCAGTAGGCCAGATGTTAGGGAGTGGAGGGCAAGGTGTGGAAAAATGACCCCATGGACACAGTTACGATCTAGGGACAGCTTGGAGGAAGCTCCACTGGGAAGGAAGTATTTCAGAAGTTTGCCTGAAATGGTCTAGAGCGGCAAAGGAGCATTTCTTTGCAGTTACCTAGGAAACTGCCCACTGGTACCTTGTGTAAGCGAGCGGCATAGATAGTGACTCGAGCGCTGGGTATACTGCCTTGTTTCCAATCAGGAAATAGCTTTATAGTCAGTTCATAAAATGACTATATATTGTGCTCACTGTAAAAAATGCCCTCATTTAGGGAAACTTAAAAGCAAAAGTGAAGGTCCTATGACTCCCCCTCGAATCCCACTCCTTATCTAAGGGGATATAAACATTTATCACTGTATTACATAAACGGAATTCTATTTCTCGTTGTGTTTGGTGTCCATCTTTTGACATCCTTGTATTATTCTTGTAGGGTTTGCATGGTTTTCTGCCATGTGGACGTTCCCAATATGTATTGAGGAATCCCTTATTGAAAGACATTTTATTTCCTTAAAAAATTTTTTGCCCTAATCGAGATTTGGGGTGCCTGTCTGGCTCAGTCCATAGGGCATGTGACTCTTGGCTTTGGGGTTGTGAGTTCATGCCCCGTGTCGGGCGTAGAGCTTACTTTATAAATTCTTAAAAAGATTTTATTTATTTGAGAGAGAGAGACAGAGAGCATGAGAGGGAGAGAGAGCAAGCACGAGCAGGGGGAAGTGCAGAGAGAGAGGGAGAAGCCGATTCCCCACTGAGCAGGAAACCTGATGCAGGGCTGTATCCTAGGACCCCAGGATCATAACCTGAGCCAAAGGTAGACATCCAATCAAATGAGCCACCCAAGCACCCCAAGCTTACTTTAAAAAAGAGAAAAACAAACAAACAAAACGGAAGAAATGATTCACTAACATTCCTGGCCATATCTTGGAGCTGTAGGACAAGTGATTGAACTGTGTAAATGCCTAAACGTATCACTGCTTAGTGTGCAAGCTTATGGATTCATCATGATCAGTACTACACAAAGTTAGTACCATTTTACACTTTGTGGCTGCAAACACTATTTCTTTTTGTAGAACTGTGCTGGCTTTGGGGATTTCAGGAGATAAGCATGTACTAGGTTGGGGTGGTAACTAGCTAAATTGATATATTTTGTGAGGTAGGGAGGAGGACTACTTTAGCTCTGATAGGTTTCTAACCATACTTTTGTAATTCTTCAGACCTAAAAACTGTATTTTGGAGTCTGAGAAATGTTGTTTATATGAGTACATATAAAAAATTATAGTTTGGGGGCTATGTTTCTGAAACATGTGGACAGAAAGCAAGTTTATTTTCTAGTAGTGTATTGTGGTTTCCTGTGATGGTAAAAGTCAGTTCAAAGCCTCATTTTAAAATATTTTAAGTTCAACACCTCCCTCTAGTGGATAAAAGAAAAACTCCTTCAATTTCCATTTTCCTTAATAATGATTGTGTTACACACCCACACACATCATACTTACTTTTTCACTGTCAGGATCCCGGTATCTTTTTGTTTTATTACAAAATAAATTCTGTGACAAAATTTCTAAACCTTTATTTGCAAGGAGAGAAATTATTCTTGATATATAACTGCATGAACTATTTTATAACTCTTTTGGAATTTTCTTGTATGTTATTTAAAGCACCCCAGTCTTGGATTGTGTTGATAAAACCATAAACTTAAAACAAATATTTCAACATACAAAAAATAGCAGGGGTTAATATAACCAGTACCTGGCATAACGTACCATATCATTAAATACTAAAATTTACCATCAAGATCATGTTTGTCGTATTTGTTTCAGAATTAAAAACAGACAAGCAATAAATTGTTACATTATTAAGACTGACTATTCTGAATTACTTCATTATTCCTCCATCACCCTATTCACAAAAGATACCAGTATTCTGAAGTTAGTGTTTAATATTCTGTCTGTATACATTGACAGTGTATCCAATTATTTTGTTATTTTTTGTGTTTTAAAAATATACATAGAGTATTGGAAGGTATGAATCTTTGTCTAGCTTATTGTTCTCACTTGTGCTTTTGAGATTTTGATAACATATCAAACTGATAAATCTTGATGCTAAATTGACAAGGATACAGGAAAAGATGATTATAACCAATTATAATCAATTATAACCAATGATTATAACCAATCTCACTAATGAATATACATACAAAAGTATTATATAAAATATTAGCCAAGTCAGTGCAGCAAAATATGAAAAGATATAAAAGACCTTTATACAATAAAATGCCAAGTGAGTTTAACATTAGAAAATTAATCAGTGTTCATTTTAAATTAATATAATCCCTTAACTATATAAGTTTCTTGAATATGTAAACAGAATTCCCCAAAAATCTACACTATTTGAGAAAGACAGTTTTTTAAATAAAAACTGTGTATGTGTTTTTATATGCATATCCAAAGATATATAGTAATTGTCACATATTAGTGACTAGGTGACCTCTGCATTGAAACTGGAATTGTTAGGTCAGAAATTTCACCTACATCTTGAAAGACTTTTATTTAAAAGCCATATACTATAAGTAATATTTAATATAGGCCAATTATCATAAAGTTAAAATATCACCAATGAATAGAATAAGCTCTAACTGATCCATCACTGATTTTCCAGTTGTTCCTTTTTATAGGATTAAATCGAAAGTGTTACGGAATGATGGACATGCTCTTTGTTTAGTGTAATGGAAGGACTGCCTGTTGTTTTCTGTACTGTTTGCCATTGGGAATCACAAGTCATATTTTCTTATAAGTAAATTTCATGAGACTTCCTGAATACTTCAGTTTCTTTTGCTTTAATAAGTATTATTTGAAATAATTGCCATCAGCTACAATACAAGCATTTTTGGTTATAGATTTTATTTTGTTTTTATTTCAGATTATTTGGATTACATTGTGATTAACCTTGTAAATTACTGTTTATTCATTTAAAAATATACATAGTACTTTGTGTGGATGATAGAAAGTTAGAGATGATGTGGCAGTCAAGAGGGCATATAATTTATTTTAATTTTTTAAAAAGATTTTATTTAATTATTTGCAGATAAAGAGAGAGAGCACAAGCAGGGGGAGCAGCAGAGGGAGAGGGAGAAGCAGGCTCCCCGCTGAGCAGGGATCCCGATGTAGGGCTCCATTTTGGGACCCTGGGGTCATGACCTGAACTGAAGGCAGACACTTAACCAACTGAGCCACCCAGGTGCCCTGAGAGGGCATATAATTTAACAGTGAATTTGAATTGACATTGGCGTTATTAAGTGCTTGAAGGAGGGGAGTTATCATGCAGAATAAAAATAGTATCTTATACTTGTATACTGCTTAATGCTCTTAAAAGTACTTTTGTATATGAAGGTACTGTTATGGTGAACTTAGATTATGGCTATTCATAAAACCATTCATTCCTGAATCCACACTGCCATTAAACAGTTGCAAGTGCTAGGGCGCCTGGGCTTAGTGGGTTAAAGCCTCTGCCTTTGGCTCGGTCATGATCCCAGGGTCCTGGGATCGAGCCCCGCATTGGGCTCTCTGCTCAGCGGGGATCCTGCTTCCTCCTCTCTCACTGCCTGCCTCTCTGCCTACTTGTGACCTCTGTCTGTCAAATAAATAAATAAAACAGTGAGTGCTGGCTGCTGGCACACTTTTGCTCTGTTGTCCAAGTTTGCTCTTATCTGTTCTAGTTTAAGGATTGAAAATGTGTGAGGAGATGAGTTTCTGTATATTAAGATGTTTCCATTACCTGAAGAAAATCATTCTTAAGAGTTCATGGGTAGTCAGCTACAGAGTGGTAATTTCATGAGTGAGGGGGTATGGAGAGAAGGAATTACGTGAGGTTTTGTTCTTCATCCTTTGACTCTGGACGGTACTGCCCCATGCTTTCCAAGTTAGAGTCTTTTAGAGAGAATTGTATTTGGTGCTTGGTACATTCTCAGTCATCTTCTGATGATACCTTTTGAATGGCTGGCAATACTTGAAACCATTTTGGATCCATATGTGCGTGTCTGTCCCGGAATAAGATTGTGCTGGTGAAGGAAGGTGAGAAAGGACTTGCCTCAGAGACCTAAGTGGGAACAATGAATGTAGACATTGACCTGTGGAAAATACTTGGATATGCATGTTAACTTCCCGTTTGAACTTTCATAACGTTCAACTCTGACTTCTGAGTTTAGTTGGGAAGGGAGATTGAGAGATTTCAGTAGAACACTACCTGATGTTATTTTTCTTCCAATAATACAGCAAAGATTTGAAAACTTGAAAACTGAAAGAAATGAAACACAGCCATCTAGTGGATGCAACTCGAAGAACCATAGCCATAGTTAAAGTACCAAGAGCTCACATAAAAACCTCTCAAGGGCCTTTATCAGGCATTCAAGCTAATCACTTCTCCTCACACAAAGGAGCCATGTACATCTGTATTACAAAATATTTAAAAATTTTAATGAGCAGGGAAAACATTATAAATGGCATTTGGACTACAGCATTATGTAAATACCCTCAGAGGTCAATTGAACTAGCATAACGTTATAGTATGTTTTATACATTTTCAACCGTAAGATGTGTTAACCAGAGCTCTAAAATTGTAAAACTCCCATAATTCTTTTTTAAAAATTTTATTTTTAAGTAATCTTTGCATTCAGCCTGGGGCTCAAACTCACGACCCTGACCTGAGATCAAGAGTTTGATGCTGTACCAACTGAACCAGCCAGGCGCCCCCAAATTATAAAACTCTAGTTGTGCTCTTTTGAATATGTTTATATTCTGAAACATTGCTGGAATATCTAGATCTCTTTTGCCTATGAGAGCAAGTGTCTATAAGGTCCTTGAACAACATGGGTTTGAACTGTATAAGTCCATGGATTTTTTTCAATGAATATGTAGGAAGGTTTTTTAGAGATTTTAGACAATCTCAAAAAACTTGGAGATGAACTGTGTAGCCTAGAAATACTGAAAAAAAAAAGTTAAGTATTATAAGAATACAATACATAATACATATAAACATAGAAAATACGGGTTAATTGTGTTATCAGTAAGGCTTCCTATCAACAGTAGGCTATTGGTAGCCAAATTTTTGGGGAGTCAAAAGTTATATACTCATGTGTATAACTGTTCATGTGTGGGTGTTCCTAATCCTCATATTGTTCAAAAGTTAACTGTATAAATTAACCTATTTTTGTGGTTGAAGCACAGGTTTACTCACTCTCTTCTAGGAAATACATTTTTGTCAATGTTGGCTTATAAACTGTATTGATGCAAAAACGAATTACTTTCTAGGAGCAAGATAATGCCGTACAAAATATGCACAAGAAGGTAGAAAAATTAGAAACTGAGCACATGGACTGCTCTGATCTTCTACGGCGACAAACAAGTGAACTTGAATTTAGCACTCAACGAGAAGAACGTCTTAGAAAAGAATTTGAGGTATATTTTCTCATTCTTTTAAAACATATATATGTTGTCCAGTTAGTAATTTAAGGTCAGAAAAAGTTTTAGTCTGCTATCAAATATAAAACTTTTTTTTTCAGCATTTATTTGTATTGAATATCTGGCTGCTTTGAAAACTTTGTATTTGAGTAAATTATATTTTGCCCCTAATTTTTAAAATCTATCCATTTTTAACAGTTAATTCCCATGGAATATTTAGAAAGTTTGAGGGTAATTGTTTGCATGATAAGATTGAGGAAGCAACTCAGGAAAGGATTTTGTACACATAATATTAAATTCTAATTTTGTAGATTGGATCATATACTAGCTGCATGGTTTTGTGGAATGCATTTCAGGTGAGACTTTAGATGGGAAAGAAGCATCAAGTTACAAATGAAAGTTATGAGTTTGATGAGAGAATGATATAATCACTTTAATTTTGAGAGAAATCTATTTGTTAATTCTTTTTAAACTTTCCTTTTGTTTATGGGAAATTAAGTATTTCAATAGGTAAAGAAGTTTTGTCTTAGACATAATTTATAATTGTAATTAGGTAAATAAACATTTATAAGGAGAATTCAGTGACAAAATCCAGAGCTAATCCAGTTAAACTCACTGCTGTCATTTAACATTGTTCTGGAAGTTTTAGCCAGAGAAGTATATGATGGCAGAGCAGCAATAAGAAGTACAGTTGTTGGAAAGGAGGCATGACTCTTAACATTTTCAGGTGATGCACTTATACTGTAAATAGTCAAGAAAATCAACTTTAGAATTATTGACACTGGTAAGAACATTCAGTAAGGAGGCCAGGAAGAAAAGAAAAGTAACAATTTTATTTACATTCTTATATTCTAGCAATAGTCAGAGAATAAAACATGTAAAAAATTTTCTTCACCACCGTGACAAGAATAGGAATATAATTAACTACAGACACATTAAAAAGTTACCAGATTTAACTAAGAGTCTTCAAAGAAAATGGTGATACATTTTGGAGACACTCAGCACTAAAAAGATATGAATCCTTCCTAGATTATATTATGGGTTAAAATAGTTCCAATAAAAAACTCAGTGGAATTATTTTGGGAATAAAGATTCAGATATTCATGTGAAAGACTAAAGAGCTACTACACAAGAGTCTCTCATACATTTTTAAAAAGATTTTATTTGTGGCATCTAGATGGCTCAGTTGTTTGGTATCTGCCTGTGGCTCAGGTCATGATCCCAGGGTCCTGGGATGGAGTCCCATGTCGGGCCCCTGCTCAGCGAGAAGCCTGCTTCTCCCTCTCCCACTCCCTCTGCTTGTGTTCTTTCTCTCACTCTCTCTCTGTGTCAAATAAATAAAATCTTAAAAAATATTTTATTTATTTGAGGGAGAGAGAGCGAGTGCGAGCCCCTGAGAAGGGGGAGGGGCAGAGAATCTCAAGCAGAGTCTGCTCTTAGCATGAACTCCAATGTTGGTCTCCATCCCACAACCCTGAGATCATGACCAGAGCTGAAACCAAGAGTTTGACGCTTAACCGACTGAGCTACCCAGGCGTCCCTAAAATATTCTGTTAAGAGAAATGAGTGGAGACTTACTATATCAGAGGTTAATAGCTATTATAAAGCTTTAGTAATATATCAGTGGTGGTTTTTTCCTTGTATGCAACAGAAACCAACTTTGGCTAACTTCAATAGGGAATTCACTGGAGGAATATGGGAATCACATTTGCGATTAGGATGAAAGTTGGGGAATCAGGCTTAGAAATGAAACCCAGAGCATCCCCAGACGTCTTGGGAACAGAAATGATGGAGGAAGTTAGGATGAATTGATATCAGTAATTTTCATTTTATTTGTTTACCAGTAACAATTGGTATCATTCTTTTTGTCACTTTAGGATTCAAATCCCAAAGAGAAAATATTCGATTGAAAGAGGTAGTTTGCCCCAAATAAATCTCTCTCAATTCTGCTAAAATTAAAGCCCCCCCCAAAAGAAATTTTTTCTTTTCTTTAATTAATTTTTTATTTTTTAATTAACTTATAATGTATTATTAGCCCCAGGGGTACAGGTCTGTGAATCGCCAGGTTTACACACTTCACGGCATTCACCATGGCACATACCTTCCCCAATGTCCATAACCCCACCACCCTCTCCCTCCCCCCCTCCTCCCCACAACCCTCAATTTGTTTTATGAGATTAAGAGTCTCTTATAGTTTGTCTCCCTCCTGATCCCATCTTGTTTCATTTATTCTTTTCCTATCCCCAAACCCCACGTTGCCTCTCAACTTCCTCAAATCAGGGAGATCATATGATAATTGTCTTTCTTTGATTGACATATTTCACTCAGCATAATACCCTCTAATTCCATCCACATCATTGCAAATGGCAAGATTTCATTTCAAAAGAAATTTTTATAAAGAAAATTCAGTTTCTGGTACCAAAAGAAGGGGAAAAGAGATTGTTGAGTGGCCAAAAAGTACAGTAACTTTAAGACCAGATTTTCCATGGTACAGATTAGAAGGCCAGTAGTAGACTTGTAGAATATATATAAAATCTAGTATATGAAGATACCACTTTAAATTAATGAGGATAGGAAAGATTATTCAATCATCTTGAAACATGGTTAACTATTTAACTCTTTGGTTAACTATTTAACTAAAATAAAATTAGATTCCCAGCTTACATCATATTGTAAAATAAGTTTCAGTTGAATTAAAAAGAGTAAAAATATTATAAGCTGATAAAGAAGAAAAAAAAAGTGGTTTTTGCTCTCTGAGTCTAGTATGACTTGTTATTAATCATAAAAGCAGAGGAACAAAATCAACAGATTTATAGCTTTGACTAGGAGAAATTAAAGTCATATATATGTAAATTCTCCACTTCAAATAAAATAAAAAAAACACATGAGAAAAATATTTATAGCAAAAGGTAGATCTATCTCTATCTCTACATCTCTTTATCCAAATTCCCTCCACTATTTGGTAAGAAAAAGGAGAAAACCTTTATGAAAAAAAATCTACCAAGGACTTCAAAGAAGATGTGAAAGATGTTAAGATGAATAGCAAACATACGAAAAATGCTTGACGTCAGAAAGGCTGTAACAGTCATGATACCAAGACTAAAGAAAAGGTAGCACCCAGTGTCAGTGAGGGAGCTGTTAAAAGTTCCTGGGTCTTGCTGCTGAGAGGGCAAATGGATAAAGCCTTCCAGGAGCTGTGTTTGGCAAATTTATGTGGTCTTCATCAGAAAATCATCACACCCTTTGAGGCCTCCAGCTCATGGCTCAGCCATCACCTGGGACTTCATTTTCCTCTGTTGGATCTCCTGTTTCCTAGGTCCCTGTGTGTTTTTTACGCCAGTGGCGTATGTAGTCTAGTAGCTGCTAAAGAAAGGGTATATGAGAGCTCAGTTTTAGCTGATCTTGTGTTTCTGAGTGTGATTTTTATGAATAAAGTATTAGAGCAGATGTAATTTGGCCAAATATAGAATTTTAGGTTTAAAGTCATTTTCTCTTAATATGTGAAGGCCTTACCTTCCTCATTCCCAGACTCTTCTGTTGCTGTCGAGAGGCCTAATGTTATTCTGGTTTGTGTTTCTTTGATGGTGATCTTCCTCCCTCATTCTTGTCATCTCTGTAAGTTTTCTTGGTCTTCTGTTCTTTTCAAACTTTTTTTTTTTAATGGAAAGCTTTAAACAAACATATTTTTAAAAATGAACAGAACAGTATAATGAACCTAATGTATCCATCACCAGCTTCAACAATGATCTATATATGGCCAATATTTTATCATTTATGTCCCCACTCACTTTCCCCCGTCCCATATTATAGTGAAATGAATCCCAGTCACAGTATTTTAACTATAAATATTTATTACAATTAAAAAAAAATGAGGGGTCTTTATTTAGAGTCACGTTTTCAATATTAAAACTAAATTAACAGGAACATCACTTAATAAAATCAAATATCCAGGCTTTATTCAAATTTCAGATTGTTCCACAATTTGATATAAATGGTGTAAATGTGTGTAAATGCAGTTTGAGTCAGAATTCCAGTTACACATTACAATTGGTTGATATTTTTTCTCTTGCTTTTAAAGAAGATTTTATTTATTTGAGAGAGAGAGAGATTGCGTGCGTGAGCAGGGAGAGGGACAGAGGAGGAGGGAGAGAGAGAAAGAGAGCACACTCCATACTGAGCTCAGAGCCCTACACAGGACTCGATCTCATGAGCCTGAGATCACGACACCAAGATCACCACCGGAGCTGAAACCAAGAGTCTGTTGCTCAAACTACTGAGCCATCCAGGCACTCTCGTTGATAGGTCTCTTAAATCTCTTTTAATCTACAGATTCTTTGTCTATAGCTTTCTTTTTTCCTTATATTTGTGAGGACACCAAATTATTTGTGCCATAGAGTTCCCACTGACTGCAATTGCAGGACATCAAATATAAATAATGTTTCTTAGTATAGATCTTTTTAAATTCACGGTGACCATTTTAGTTAGGAAATGCATGCCCTTTATTTGGAAGAATTCTCTTGTGTTATTCTCTTGTGGAATTTTTTTCCTCAGGGCTTTCGCTGTTCTTTCTCTCTGGCTTTTATTATTCAAGTGTCAGATCAACTGGATTGATGGTTTACTTCTTTTACCTTTCTGTTGTCTTTCTCTTTGTCTTTTTGTTGTGGCTTCTTGGGACATTTCTTGACTTGACTTTCTAATCTTCTTACTGAATATTTTTTTTTCATTTTTAATTTCTGAGAGCTCTTGTTCTCTGTACCATTTTTTTTTTAATAGCATCCTGTTCCTATGACTACTGTATTCATTTGTTTGTTCAGTAAGTATTTATGGAGAGTATTAGGCACACTTTTTGGTGCTTGAGGCATTAGCAGCGAACAAAACAAAGTCTCTTCCCTCTTAAAGCTGATGCTCTAGTCAGGGAGAATCACACATTAAATGAAACAAAGCATGATAAGCCCTGTGGAGAGTAATAAAGCAGACTAGGGTTGGGGTGCTTGGGT